AATATGAAACTGAATTGCTTCACGATGACACTGAAATGCAGTTTTTGTGTCTCTGTGTGTTTCCACCCCCGTTTTTTTTTTTAGTGGGTGGAGGCAAGAAATATTATCGACAACAACAGTAAAAAGAGAAATAATGGCAACATGAAAAATGGGAGGAAAAGAATGTTTTACGAGTGTGAGTTACAAAGTTCTGAAACAAACATCCCATGATGTGGCTCTAAATAGAAAATGAGGAATCTATCATAGTCTCTGGCAAAGTAATCCAAATGTGAATCCTTATACTTATATCCAAAACAAACAAACAAACAAACTGTTTTCCCAAGAACAAGGTGATGTTGGGGAAGGAGTGGGACGGAATAAACAACAATTTATTTGAAAAAAAGTGGAACTTAAGTTCAATGTGAATTAGTAACATAATTTTTTTTTATGGTTCAGTCTTTTTTCAGTCATGTCTGACTCTCTGTAACGCCATTTAGGGTTTTCTTGGCAAAGATACTAGAGTGGTTCTCCGTTTCCTTTTCCAGCTCATTTTACAGATGAGGAAATTGAGGCAGAGTGAACTGACTTACCCAGGGTCACACAGCTAGTAAGTGTCTGAGGTAACATGTGATTCTGGTTCCAGGCCTGGCATGCTCTATTCGTACCCACCCAGAATTAGGGCCAATGGTAAACAAGCCTTGGGCTTCATTGACAAGCATAGGGTCCTGGACCAGGGCAGGAATGCCTTGCTGCATTCTGTCTTGGTCAGAGCTCAGCTAGAATATTGTGTTCATTTCTGGGTGCCACATTTTAGAAACTTCTTAAAGCAGAGGTTCTTCATGCTTTTTATGTATCTTGGGTCCCTTTGGTGGTCAAGTAAAACATATGAAACATATGGGCCCCTTCTTAGAATCATGTTTTTTTAAATGGACAAGATAAATTCATAGGATTGCAAAAGAAATCAGTTATAAACCTGGAATCAGGAAGACCCAAGTTCAAATCTGGCCGTAGATTCTTCCTAGCTGTATGACCCTGGGCAAGTTGCTTGACTTCTGTTTGCCTCAGTTTCCTTATCTGTAAAATCGGGACAATAATACCACCTACCTCATAAGGCTGTTGTTTGGATCAGATAAGATAACAGTGCTTGGCACACAGTAAGTGCTATGTAAATGTTAGCTATCCTCATCACCATTATCCCCCCACACAGAAGGATATAGGGGTGTTTAGCCTGACTGAAGAGAGGAGTTGGAGCTGAAATGATCATTTAAAAAAAACTCTTTGAGGACTTTCATGTGTTCAAGGAAGTAAGACCTTTTTTTTTCCTGATCCCAGTGGGTAGAATTATAAGGAGCTGGTTGAAGCTTTGAGGCAAAAAACAGCCTTAAAACCCTTCCTAATAATGAGAACTATCATGGATTGTGGGTGTCTCTCCCCCTCAACACACCCAACCTAGAAGTCTTCAAGCAAAGGCCACTTCTTGGGCATGTTAGGGTAGTGGAGTGGTGAGGTAGGTGGAGGCCTGGACCTGAGGTGTGGGAGACTTGAGTTAAAATCCAGCCTCGGACACCTGCTAGCGGTGTGACTCTGGGTAAGTCATTTAACCTCTGTCTGCCTTAGTTTCCTCATCTGTAAAATGGGGAGAATAGCAGTACTTACCTCACCAGGTTGTCTCGAGGATCCAATAAGACTGAGGGCCCATGCAGCGCAAAGTGCACATACTGTGTGTTCAGAGCCAAGGCTGCAGTGAAGTTGCTAGTGAAACACTTGCAAGTGCTGCCAGGAACACCTTGGATTCATTGCATGTTTGATGTTGAATTAAATTTTGGTCGCTGCTCTTTCAGAAACCTTTTACTCTTGCCAAATTTTTCGAGACCCCAGGTCTCAACCCACAGTTTAAGAAACACTGGACTAGATGGCATCTGAGATGATCCTTGCAATTCCAATCAATGAATAAACATTTATCATTTTATTATTATGTATTATTCCAGGATTCTGTATGCAATGATTTTTACTCTTATTTTTGAAAGGAAAATTTTTACTCAAATTTAAGGAACATCAGAAACTGGAGAAAATTCTGAGTGGGTGTTTCAGAGAAATTTCAGAGCACAGGAACTGAAAGATTTGTTTCAAAGGAGCTCTTGCCTGGGCTTTAGAATGAGGGTGGGTGTTGGGTCATGGAATCAAACAAAAACTAACAATTTCTGAGAAAGAAGCATGGTCTTGGTCCTACTGTAGAGTAGTGAAAGGTTACTGGGTCTCATCCTAGGGCCTCTAGGGGATATTTTGGGAGCAGGGTTTGTGGAACAGGTTTTGAAATACAAAATGGAAAAAGAAGAAGGGAAAAAAATGGGGGGAAAAACAACAACAAAAGAAATACAAAGTGGGTACATGTTTTCCATTAATAAGGAGATTCTGTGGGAATCCACAGAAGTGGAAGGAAATCTGGGAGTGGGAAAGGGGATTCTGGAAAATGGTAACCAGGATTAGAACAAAAGCAGCAATTCCAAACTCCTGCCTTAGACTTCAGACATAGTTACTGATTATGATGATAATACTCCAACATTTTATTATACAAGGGTGACTCCACCATGAAAGTAAATTTAGATGTATTTATATGTATACATATTTATTGTACAATTTGCACACTTATAACTTATGTGTGTATGTTAAATATTAATAAAAACATTATATCAAAATATATCAAATTTATATTAATAAATTATATAATCAATCTAATAAAATTATATGATAAAATTAAATCATATAATTGACCCACATATACATACTATACCTATATACTATACATGCAGATATACAATGTAATTAGAGAATATGAAAAATGTTACAATATATACGTGTATGGACATGCATATATACACATACACATATACATGGGTATACACACATATACATATACACACATATATGTATGTGTGTATGTGTGTGTGTGTGTATGTATGTTGAAAACTTGAGGACTATATCTTACCAGTCACATGGATGACAGGTATGTATGTGTCCATTACTTATAGGTAAATAATGTTGATGAAAAATGGAGATTCTCCTCATTTCCTGATCTACTCATATACAGGGATGAGTACCTTAACACAGGTGAATTTTGAGAAGAATGACAGTAGAGGGAAATATTTACAGCTGGTTTGAGGGGCAAGAAATGTGATTTTTCCTACTAGAAGCTACACAGGGGAACTTGGCTTGAGTTTACCTACTGAATAAACCTGATTAATTCTGGCTAGGTAAATTGAAATGATAAATTCTGAATCCTAATGTGGCAGTCTATAAATTCAATTTGACATTACTCAAAGTTTGCATTTGAAACCATAGTTTTTACCCACCTCTGTGCCCATCAAATTTATCGGGAGCATGTTAAAACTGATTTCCATCATTTGAATTTCTTCCTTAAATGAACAGTGAATTACATCTATTCTATTGCCAAAAAGCAGGCAGAAAAAAAAAAAAGAAATTCGGACAGCCTTAGGATCATAGGAAAGTCAAGGCACGGTTTGCCTATAGTGCTTATTGTAAACCTGAGTTTCGAACCCAGCTCCGCCAACTCCAAATCTAAAACAATCCCAAAAGTTCTTTGGATCGTAGAGTAATTGACCTCTATACATCGCAGAATCTCACATCCGAAGGGACTTTCAAAGGCAATCTAGTCCAAAACCTATGAATAGAAATCCCAGCTTTTGTTTCAAGGGCTCTTTTCACCTCTGGGAACCTTAGCTCAAAATAAATCAGTCAAGACCCTCTCTCACTCATCCCCTCCAACTGAATTTGCTAGAGATTTTTAAATAGATTCTTAAAATCTTTGTGATCTCTCGACTACAATTGGAACTAACACCGTTCCAAGACAGCAAACGTTCCAAAACGATTGTTACCAAAAGCCCCCCAGGTTCCCTCCTTTAAAAACCTGCAAGGGTTTTGCAATCCCATCAATTCCACTAAGGCAGGCATTAATTCTGCACCTACTAAGTACAACCCGGGTGTGGGAAAAGGAAGGAGCCCCAGCACGTGAAGGATAAGAGAACAATGCTGATCTACGGGGGCACACCAAATTCAACCTCCCTAAAGGGTGTCACGCCCCCGTCAAACGTACGTTCTTTGTAACTTTGTTTTTTTAAGTTTTTTTTTCTAAAGAATTATTATTTAGAAACAAATCACAAGGTCAAAGAACAAGTAACTCGTATATCCAAGTTCTGATTAAGAATCTCAAAGATATGCAAAATGAGACTTAGTTTCTAGGGCTACTCCCTAAGGCACAGCACCGGAAACATTGGGTTCCCGGGCTCCGGGGCTGGGTAACTCTGGAGCGTGCGGGGTGCATTAGACCCAAGGCGATCCCAGGGCTTCGCGGGCACTTAGACTGCGGGAAGCAAACGGGGTGGGAGGTTCCCTGCTAGGAAAGCCAGCTGAGCCCAGGTGCAGGTAGCAGTGCTCGGTGCAGAGAGCCCTCGCACTTTTAGCGCAGGAGTGGAAATCGTAAGTCCAGAAAGCCTCTGCTCTCCCCTCCCCGCCAGCCCCCGAGTCCGCCCCCCTTCCCCAATCCCCCCGGCGGGAGGGACAACGCGGCGCGCCAACCCAGGGGGCGGGGAAAAGCCCGGATGAAACCAGCCGCGCGCGGCCCGGCCCACTCACCTCTTTGAATTGCAGCGCGGGGGCGGTCGTCGCCTTCCTCTTCCGCGCGCTGATTGGCCGAGACCCGGGCGAGCCTGTCCCCGATAGGGGCGTGCGCTGTCAGTCTCCTCAGATCGCGGGGCTGGGTTTGTTGCGGGAAGGGAGACGGCGGCGTCGCTCGACGACGACGGGCGGAGGAAGGGACGCGACGTCGCCGCCGCTGCTGCCGCCGCCGCTGAGGCAGAAGCTGAGGCAGAAGCTGAGGCAGAGGCGGAGTGAGGGGAGGTGCGGAGCGGGGCGGAGAGGCGGCCCGAGCTCCGGTTCCGCATCCCTCTGGCGGCGCGCTCGCTGCCTCCTCCTCGCTCTTCCCCAGCGGCGCGGCCCGGACCCGAGCTGCGGCTGCGGCTGCGGCGAGGCGAGGCGGGCCCGGGGGGCCTGAGAGCGGCGGGGTCCCGGACCCCGCCTTCGTGCCCAGCGCCATGTCCTGGATGTTCAGGAGGTGAAGGGGCTGGGGGGGCGGGCAACGGTTGGCCCCTGATCCCCAAATCAGTCCCTCCGGGAATCCCCCGCCATGCGCGTGCCGGGTGGGAGGGGCCCGTCCTGCGCGCTTTCCCCCCCTTCCCTCCCCCGGCCCTCAGCGGGGGGTCCCCGTGTCCGAGACCTTGGCCCGGGGCGCGGGGGGAGGGGAAAGGGCTGCAGGCATCGCCGCCCCTCACCTGTCCCGGGCGTGCCTCGCTGCGGGAGTCCCGGTTAAAGGGGTCCCAAAAAACCAAAACAAAACACGCGCGACCCAAACAAAAACGCGAGCTGGAAAGCAACCTGCCGTGCCGCGAGCTTGACGCGAGGACTTTATCTTTTCCTCCCTTTAGGACGGACGCTCCCCAGGTGTTCTTTAAAGTGTGAGTTACCCGTACGCATGCCAAACTTGTGCCCACGAAGCCCACGGTCGGTCTTGGCGCTCCCGGGTGTAGACAAGCGGGCAGAGTAGGGACCCGAGTGTTTATTCCTAGCTCCTGGGCTTGTCTTTTCCTCTTCCTCTAAATGAAACGTTGCCTGATGATGTGGGGCACGGGGCCCCTAATGGGATTTGAGTCGGGCGAACTTTATAGGTTTTTTTTTTTATTTTTATGGAGATTTGTAAATAGACTCTTGTTTCCCGAGGGCGGGGACTTTGTTTTGCATTCTCGTACTTTAAACCGTACTGCCCCAAAGTGTTAGGGCACTTTGTAAGCATGAGTACTGGATGTCACAGTTTGGGGGGGGGGCGCAGTTTTACCTTTGGTAGGCAACTTGGGGTTCTAGTTAGGAAACTATAAATCTTACTCATCTGTTTCCTCGTACCCATTATAGTATGGGTACATATAAATGAATAACAGGATTGTTGCCTCTGGGACTTTAGCCTTTTAGCCATGGAGATAAACACATTTAAAATGCAGATTCACTATACAAACACTGTTGGCCTTAAGTCTAGAAACTGAGGCTGTTCTAGCTAGGTGCTCTGAGACTCCTCCTGAAGGGGGTTGTATCTAGGTAACTTATGGGGGGGGGCGGCTCAGTCAAGAAAATTGGTGCCTCTTATGTGCCAGGCGCTGTGCTTTGCAGATACAGTAAGATACAAGTGACGCTTGATTTGGGCTTTGAAAGCTGGGAGAGATGTTCCGAGACATGGGGGAATAGTGAGAAGTTTGAAAGAGTAGGTGGATCCCCATTGGGCAGGAATAGGAAAGCTGGGCTAGAGAATCTGAACTTTATTTAGTATAGGGGAGAAATATGAATGCTAGACCAAGGAATTTGAACTTTATTCAGTAAAAGGAAGAAGCTATTGAAAGTTTTTGAGATTATATACACGAACCACTTTGCAAACATTAAAGCACTGTATAAAGGCTAACTCTTTGCTGAGTAGGGAATTGATGAAAACAGACTTGTACTTTAGAAAGATAAATCTTGATTTGGGTCTGGATGGATTGTAGGGGGGAAGAGACTAACTGTGAAAGGTATTGAGAACTTGAAGTGGAATGGTCACAGTGGAAATGGAAAAGAGGGGAATTCCGAATTTTATTGATTTACTCTAAAAGCTTGTGGACTGGATATGCCTGAATTGGAGCAAAGGAGAAAGAGGCCAAAAGTGACTTGAGTAGTCTGACAGAATAGTGAGGCTATAAGCCTGGAAAGAAAAGGGGGAATTCTGAGCTGTTAGGGGAGAGGGAGGTTACTACTAGACTGTAATTTGGACAGAGTGAGCTCGAAATGCTGGCGTTGCATCTATCCAAGTGCAGGTGTCAGGCAGGAGTGGGAAATGTGGAACAGGACCTGGGGAGAGGTTGGAAGCCATTGACATACAGCAAGAGTTGAAGCACTGGAAGATGGATAGAGAAAAGAGAGCTTAAGAAAAAGAAAACTTATGAATTCAATGTTTTTAAATTAAACCATACTTTATTATAATACTGTAGCATTATGACAGAGTTCATAGACCTCTGGGCCTGGAAACAGGAAGATCTGAGTTCAGATTTGGTCTCAGCTGCTTACCAAGCTGTGTAACTCTGGGCAAGTCACTTAACCCCTGTTTGCTTCAGTTTCCTCATCTGTAAAATGGGGATAATATTAGTACCTACTTCCCAGGGTGTTTGTAAGGATCAAATGAAATGACTATAAAAGGTTTAGTCTGGCACAAAGTAGGTGCTATATAAAGTTAACTATTATTATTAGAATTCAGTCTATAGAAGGTTTGTTTAACTTCTATTGAGTCATGTAATAGAACTGGTTAGTCTAGAATCATTGACCAAAAACTGTATCCTCAGAATCCACATCCAACACCAGCTTTGTATAAGGAGTTTGGGTGTGTGTGTGTGCGCGTGCCAATGTGTGTACACATACATACATACATACATACATACATGTGTGTGTGTATATATATATATAAATTGTAATTTTTTTGTGGCCAAAATTTGTTAGAATCCTGGCACAAATCCACAGTGGGTATTCTTAAATTTACCTTTGTACCCAGTTGTTAGTTTGGTGAAACTTTTGGACACCTTTTCAGAGTAGTGTTTTTAAATACATGGGATTACAAAGGAAAATAATTACATTGAAATACAGTTAACAAGAGCAGCTAGATGGCACAGTGGATAGAGCACCAGCCCTGGACTCAGGAGGACCTGAGTTCAAATCTGGCCTCAGACACATAACACTTACTAGCTGTGTGACCCTGGGCAAGTCACTTAACCCCATTGCCTAGCCAAAAGAAAAAAAAACCCAAAAAAATACAAAAATAAAATAAATAAAAATAGAAATACGGTTAACAAAGTTTTTTTTAAGTTAACAGATTCGGGTTAAGTACTTCCGATTTAGATCTTTCATGACTTAGTTATTAATGATCTTTATGTTTTCTGACTTGTATATTTAAATTTACTGATTGATTAGAGGGAAGACTGTAGTAGCAAGAAGATGCTATGCAAATTCAATAAAACTCTAAGGAATTTTTATTAATTATAAACCTGTTTTGGGAAGGAGAATGGATATTTGATAAAATTTTTTGCCATGTGAACATCATTTTGATATTTCTAAAACTGATGTTACCTATAGATGAAATAGCCATAACTCTGATATAGTAAAGGTAAGCTATTTCATAATAGCCTTATTTTTGTCAATTTTTTTCTTTCCTTCATAAGACTTTGACATATAAGTAAAGTTGAAATATAAAGCATGTATTTTGAATTAAAGTAATGTTTTTTGTAATTGGGTTGTCAGCCATATGGAAAGGAACATGTGAAGTCATTTGTTCTGCAGGTCTTTACATTTCATAATTGGGGTGACAGATGTATTAAAGGCAGTCTGTGATCATAGGGAAAGAATTTGGGCAGGTCATGTTTCAAGAATAGGGGAAAGGAGAGGAGAACTATACCATGAGACCCTAAGATGAAGGTCAAGAGGTATTGGACTTTGGTGGGAGGACCCAGTGGTTCAGTTATTTTGGACCAAGGTTAGAGGTGGTGACTTTTAAGAGATTGTTGATTGTGATATTTGCTGTATACATACTTGATGTGAGCCAGAAGAGGGTGGTATATATAAAAAAGATTGAAACCAAATGGGCAAAATTCTCAAAAATCCATTCACAGGGATATAGATAGAGATAGCTCTTTATAAAACAGTACAACATTAACGAATTCCCTAAAATTGGATTTTACCTGTGTGTTCAAAAGAAAATATTTAGAACCCGCTTTAGGTGTTCAGAACACTTTTCATTAAAATTGTAGGGTACATAACATCTGTAAATACTTTGCTTGGTTCCAGGTAGTAGAGCTACTGTCTTTTCTTATCCAGTGGTTCTTAAAAAAAAATGGTTCAGACTAGGGACAATGAGAGCTCCTAGATGGACCATGGTGTAGTCACTTGAAAGAGGAAAGGAGGAGAAATCTTGTAACAGGAAGGGACCTTGTTGGTCCCAAGTCCTTTGATGCCAAATTTGGTTCTTCCCCCCTCCCCCATTTTAGCTTGCTAGCTCGCCCACCCCATTTCCCCCCCACCCCCTTCTTTTTATAGATTGAGGACATAGGTGATGGGACTTGCTCAAGGTCATTTAGTTAGTGGTAGAACCAGAGACAAGTATTACGACTCTCAGACCAGTGCCATACAACCTTCCTTATATATCATCTTTATGATATTGGATAATAATTTGCTTATATTTTAATAAAAAGGACCACTTCATCCAAAATAAGACTTGACTTTTTTTTCCCTCTTGTTTTAAATAGGGATCCTCTTTGGAAATATCTGCAGTCTTTCCAGTATGGAGTGCATGGAAGTTTTTCACACTGCACCTTTCCCAATTTATTTTCTCCTTTTGACCCTGAAGACATTGTCCCTCCAGATGACTTTGTAGCTGGTGATGAAGATCTAGATTCGGTTTTGTTTGGAACTTTGCGAGGTCATGTGGTTGGATTACGATATTACACAGGAGTAGTAAGTAGAATATGATGTTTCACTTGGTTTAGTAGTCTGAGTATTAATCCTACAGTTGAAGAGGTGTGCTCAAAAGGAGTATGTTTAGCAAATGCAGTTTTCCATTGTAGGGTTTGGTAATAAGGTTTTCAAAAAGTGACTATTACATGCTAACAAAGAGAGTCAATAGTATCTGCAAAGATTTATCATAGATATTTTTGTATTGTATCTTTTACTTTTTTGATATCTCTACTCCCTCCTTTTCCTGTCCCATTTAAATGTCTTTCTAGCTCTGCTTTTGTGTTCTTTTAAGTCTTACTGTGCTTCTTTGTCTATGCATTTCCTCTCACTCTTTGCTTTCGGACTTTATCTACCTCTAATAGAGGTACCTATTTCCTCTGTTCTATATATGAGTTCCTGTCTTTTCTTACTAGCAAACCATATGTAATGTGTTTCTTTAAGCTCTTGCTTCTGCTTAATCATATAGACTCATTCTGGCATTTATAAGCTGCCAACAATGTGGACTGTTTTTGTTTTTCAACTCAAGTATGCATTTATAATGGCCACTTTGCAAAAATGAAAGCAGAAAAAGCAGCGCTGATGAACTAATAAAGATGAAATTGGCATTTGAAAAAATTCCAAGAATTATAGCTATTGTGACAAAATTTTAAGCTGTGTGCCATGGTTAATTTAATCTTAGCAAAATAGGACTGTATTTTAGAAATTTCAGGACAAAGTGTTAACTACAAAATTAAGATAAAAAAAGCACTAGCTTTTTCAGGTATAAAAAGTAAGGACAGTAACATAAAATAGAGTTTACCACATTGTATAAGAGGAGAGAGAGAGAGAGAGAGAGAGAGAGAGGGAGAGAGAAGATACCATCTTCAACAACCTTAGTCTGAAACCCCAGAAAAAATATCCTGGGTACTATACTGTAGGCTTTGAGCAGTACAATTTAAAGGAAGGTATTATCAACTAAGCGTGTCACTTATGTTTAATATTTTATTAGGTTAATAATAATGAAATGGTGGCACTTCAAAGAGAACCTAATAATCCATATGACAAGAATGCAGTGAAAGTAAATAATGTCAATGGAAATCAGGTGGGTCACATAAAGAAAGAACTTGCAGCCCCTTTGGCCTACATCATGGACAACAAACTGGCCCAAGTTGAAGGGTAAGAATTTGGTTTGGAGAATTTTATAAATACCTTTAGGCTAGTTCTAGAGTTGTCATTATTTTGCTTATTGGTAATCAGTCATCTTTTCTTAAGTCTATAAAGCACTAACCACCTTTTTATCATAGCTAGTGTTGTGGTTGAAGATCAGCCATGAAAGTGTCTCAAGAAGTTTCAGCAAGTGGAATGTTCATGAACAGATCAGACAGCTGAGAATTTGTCTCTGTTCTTGGCACATCATCTTCATGCCTTTTTATTTTCTTGTAATTCTGTGTATTTTTGTAGGTAATGGGGAATTAGAAGACTGTATTTTAGGTGTTTGGGGTAGTATGTGGGAAGAGGTAGTACAGCTTGAGAGTAGTTGTTAACTGATGGCAGGAAAAAGAAATAGGAACAGTTCAGTTTATGCTTTAACTTTACTCTCTCCATCTGATGACCATATTAATATTCACATTTATATGGAAGTTTCTTCACTCCTTTGGAGATAGCATTGACATGCTTTAAGTACAGCTTTGGATGTAAAGAATCCACTTGCTTTGGATAGTATTTGCTATCTGTATCATTCATTTGACACTAACCATATACTACTTGTATTTTTATTTATTTTGTCCCACCTTTTGTTTGTAAGCTTCTTAAAAGTAGAGACCACTTAACTCAGTTTTGTCATTGCTTAGCATGGTAAACATTTGTATGTATGTAGTAGGGGCTTAGTAAATGTTCATTGATAATTCTAATTATTTGTTCCATAGAAATCTTGTAACCAGAACAACAAAGCAGTGTTTCTTTGGATTACTTTTTTCTGACTTAGGAACAGCTTAAAAGTTTTCAGTGCCTTTTAAAAGTTGCTGTTGAAGGCAACAGATGCAAAAGCAGCAGCTGAGCAGTCCATAATAAGTGTAGTGCTCTGCTGGTTGCTCTGAAATAAATCCAGAAAGTACGGCCTCTATCCCTTATTTCATTCTCAATGTGTATGTAGAATAACTAGAGGATGATGAAATGGCACTATATAATCCACCTTTGGATATGTAAGTTAGAAAAAGAAATTTTATTTCTAAGTTCTTTTAAGTAGCATGCTTGGCAGTTTTAAAAGCTTGATGTTGTACCTTGCTTTGGTACTGTAATAGTAATAATGCTGTCAGTAGTAACTCAGATTTATATTATACCTTAAGGTTTGCAAAGCATTATATAAATTTCATTTGATCCTGTGAATGAGCTGCTGACCCTTTCTTTGTAATAAGTTTTTTTCCTCCCAAGATGGAAGTAATAAATAATATGAAGACTTAATATTTTTTAGAAACTTGCCCTGTTTAAGTTCCTCAGAAATAGGGTAGTATGTAGTAATATCTTGGATTCTTGGGTATTTCTGACAAAGAAATAGAGCCTGTTTAATTATGAGTCTTAATCCTTAGCTCCTCACCTTGCTTGTCATGTTCTCTGTGTACCTGAAGTATAAGGAAGAAATGGGAAGGAATTTGTGTTGCTAGTGGGAAGAATCGTTATCCTGTCAATGCTTAGTTCTGGAAATCATGCAGGATCAGCTTCAGTCAGTTATATACCTTCTTATTTGTTCAGATCCTTCCTTATCTCTCATGTTCCAATTCTTCTAGCAGGGTAGATTTCTCACCTCTTTTAAGTTGCTGTACTGTCCAATTATATAATAATTTTGTAATCACTGTTCAGTCTAAAGTTATATTCCAAACTGCATTATTACAGAAATTATCTTACTGCACTATCTTATCTGTTCTAACATTCTGGTTCTTAACTAACCTATTCTTTTATTTTCTATTGATTTTTTTCCCCCCTCCTTTTTTCAGCTCCTATTTTGCATTTTCCCTGCTTAATTCTTAGGTGCAATGTTTGTAGGAATGAAAGTTGAGGCAGATGAGGGATTTTTATTATAGTAGCTCTTCATTCTCTTTCCCTCTATAATGTAAAGGCTTAATTTAATAAAGATATTTAGTAGTTTTAATACTTTTGTGGAAAAAAAAGCTAACAAAAAATAAAGGATTTCCCATATCCCTCATTTTCTTTTTCCAAATCTTTGTAGGGTGGTCCATTATGGAGCAAGCAATGCTTTTACTATGCCTGTTCAGATGAGTTTTTGGGGGAAAGAAGAAAATAGAAAAGCAGTTTTAGATCAGTTGAAGAAACATGGATTTAAGTTGGGGCCTCCACCAAAAAGTAAGTTCAAGACTTTATTATATTGATATATTAAATTTGTCATGTTGTTTAGTATTATAAGCCTATTTTGGGGGGAGTCATTTTGTTTTGTCTCCCTGTTTTCTTGCTTTTTGAGTTCAGTAAGGGTTTAGTATCTATCTGCTGAAGTGTCAAAATTTGAACTTTTTGTTCTGTCTCTTTATAGAGATGACTGGGATTTTATTAAATATGTGCTTTTATGAATCATAAATATGAAGTGTCAGCCTTCAAGGAGTTGTTAGAGGAGGGCTTTTTATTTGTTCAGAGGTTTGCTTTGAATAATGTAAAGTAGTCTTTGTGGTTAGCTTTAAACATTTTTTTGTCCAGAAGATTTTTTAGACAAATGTGTAAGTTTTAAAATGTTTTTATTTGTGTATTTAAAGTTAATATCTTTGTATTTACTAACTTGGATTGTTTTGTGGGACACAGGTTCAGGATTTAATTTTGATAGTGCTTGGAATTCTGAACGAGCTGGACCAAGTTATAGTGTACCTATTCATGCGGCTGTGCAAATGACAACTGAACAGGTTTGCTTCTTTTTCTTTTGGGTTCTTTTGCCTTGAATTAGAGTCTGTTCTCCTATCATTAGCTTTGGTTGGCCTTGGCATTTTTACCAGTGCCTACCTCTTAACCATTTCCACCATTACTTTCTGCTATTTGTGTTACTGGACTAGAACATAAATATTTTCTTAAGATTAATTCCTATGAATGCACCACCTAAACTTAGAGCATAAACACGTAGATTATGTGAATAAGAGTCTTATATTGTTATCTGTTCTAAATAACCTGGTATGATATTTTGGTGTCCATATACAAACTAATTTAGTGTTCTTTGCATTGGCATGCCCTTTCCTCCTTTCTGCCCCTTACCATCTAGTGAATGGATCAAAAAATTTAATTAAATGTTTATTATATGCCAAGCACTGTTCTAAGTGCAAAAGTGAAATGATGTCTACCCTCAAGCTGCTTAAATTTTAATAGTGAGTAGACATATATGAGAGTAGTATCCATCCAAGAATGTTTTGATCTGAGTAATCATCGGGTTATTGAGTGGAGCCACGTGGGAGCTGATGGATACGAAGCAGTGATAGTATTAATCTAATTTGAATTCCCAGAGAAAAAGGTTGGGGAAAGTGGAGGGGAGGGTATGTTGCGGGGAAGAGAGCCAAGATACAGTGGCCTATGTACCTTTGCCTTCAATGGTAATCAGGATAGCTCAACTCCTGGGCAGGAATACAACTACTTAAATAGATCCCTAATACACTTAAAGTATATGAAAGGTAGAGTTTATTCCCTTGCCAGAATTTTGTTATATCAAGGTTCGCTACTCAGTGGCAGCTTCAAATTTGGAACTGGAAGGACTCTTAGAGATTATCCAGTCACATTTTAACCTAGAAGGAAACAGACCCAGCGACAATAAATGGTTAGCCTAAGGTTGTAGGTACTAAGAACCAGGATTTTAATTCAGATCTCCTTTTGCTTCTGTGCCACATTGCCTTTGTTTTGAGAATGTATAACTTGAGAATCTCATTGATGTGTTGTTTTGAATAGCAAATTATTTATTTATGTCTTTTATAGAGAAAGGGTAATGGAGTGGAATAGAATACCTGACTTGGAGTTTGGAAGATAGTTTAAATCCTGACTGATGCTTTTTTATCCCTGTGACCATGGAATAGTCACTTATCTCTCTTAGCCCCAGTTTAATCCTCTGCCCAGGGTTAAATCTTCCTAGTGGTGGGAAGCTCCCAAACTAAGTAGCAATGAATCATGGGTCCTTAATGCAGACATTTTTCTCATAGAGCTAACTACTCTAAAGGCACTGACTCGTTTAATTTTTATTTTACTTTGAATTTCACTTTAATGATGTGCATTTCTGTGATTGTGTATTGCAGCTCAAAACAGAATTTGATAAATTGTTTGAAGACTTAAAAGAAGATGATAAAACTCGTGAAATGGAACCAGCTGAGGTATTGAGTTTGTAGTACTTAACATTGAACATTGAAAACCGCTTGGTCTGTTTTAAGAGTGCTATAAAGTTCTTTGTCATTTTGGACATTTCCAACTTCCTTTTCTGCATGATCATTGTATTATTCATCTATCAACTATTTTGTATGGAAAAATAAAGAAAAGGTATATGCTGTGTCTTACAGGACTTCTTTTACTTGTAGGCTATTGAAACACCATTACTTCCACACCAGAAACAAGCATTGGCTTGGATGGTTTCACGTGAAAACAGCAAAGAGCTACCTCCATTTTGGGAACAAAGAAATAACTCCTACTATAACACAATTACCAATTTTTCTGAAAAGGAGCCACCAGAGAATGTTCTTGGAGGAATATTAGCTGATGATATGGGTTTGGTAATTGTTTTTTTTTTTCCTCCCTAGAATGTGTAATAACATTTGGGGGGCAAGTGAGAAGGGTTTGGGTGAGACAATAAAAGTGTAGTGTTGTTAATATAGGTTTTTTAAAAAACAGACTCATTAAATAGAAGTAGGTGTATTGATCCAGATTTGAGGAATACATTTTTTACTTAATAGAAAAAAATCTTTTCATGGTTTCTATACCATGTAAAATCTGTATTTTCCTTGATGCTTCAAATTAAATAGGTTCCCTTAAAAGTAGAGAGAATGGGTAAAACATTTGAAAGAAAAGTCATTTTCAGTTTACAGACAGTCCCATGTTCATACCCTACCTCCAGCATTGTGGTAGGTAATTTGCATGTTGGATACTCAGATCTGTATTTCCCCATGCTGATTTTCTTATCCTTGTTTATGTTTCTATAGCCACAAAACAGTTGGGGAAAATATGAAAAAAAAAATCACTGGACTCATTCTGCTCTGATTTACTTTTTAAAGTTCAACAAATTGTATCCTGTATATTTTTATCACAAATTATGTCATTTGTATCTTAATATTTAATGACTTACATTGGGGAAACTTATCTTCTCAACAGTACTAATCAAATAACTTAAAAGAAAAAATAACTCGTTTTAATTAGAAGTTGTTTCAAAAGTAACTAAGATGTGAGAGTTGAATATTAAAAATAAATTTTTTGATATTTAAACTAGTTATGTTTCAATAGCCTTTTGGTACATAAGAGTTAAAATAGTACGTTTCTGAGATGCTTGACATTATGTAATAGAGCCATTTCATCCTACATTTTTTATAGGTGATAGGTGGCAGATGAGTCATTTTTCTAGTGCTAGTCACGTTTTGCAGAACGTCAGATTGTTGGGTCACAAGTAATGCATACATCGTATTTCATAGCCACCATTGGTCCAATATTCTTGTCCCTTGACTGTAGGGTTCATGGACCATCTCAAAAAATATTTATGAGCTTTCTAGCAGTGACTCAGAATCTGGTTAGATATGTGACTTTATGAAGACTTTTTTTTTTCCCTGTAGGGCAAAACTCTTGCAGCCATTGCAGTAATCCTAACCAACTTCTATGATGGCAAGCCTCTTCCTGTTGAAAAAACTAATCAGTTGAAAGAGGTGGAGTATTTGAAAATGTTTTGTTCTATGAGATGTTGATGGAAAGCAGTCTCTCTTTAGGAAGCAGTTACTCTTCCAACTCTTTACACTAAAAGTCCAGCTTTGTAGGAGAAAAAAAATCCCTTTGTCTATTTTTCAGAGGAATTCTTGTCCCTTTCAGTTCATGGCAGAGCCCTAGTCACCAGCTACTGTGTGTTGAAAACATGACTTGTAGCCATAAAAAGCAGCCCATTACTGTAAGTTTGTTTGGAAGTTAAAAAAAAACTTGTTAATTATGATTACCTTAATTTAGGAACCAGTAGTATTATAGTTTACAGTAGTATTCCCTTGTTTGAAGCTTCAGTGTAAGGGCTATCGGTGGAAGTTTCAAAGGGGCAGATTTAGTTTTGATGTGAGGGAAAACTTCCTCACAGTAAAGAATGTTCCAGATGTGGAATGGGCTGCCTTGGGAGGTAGAGTAGGGTTCTCTTCACTAGGGGCCTTCAAAGAAAGGCAGGATTGCATAGGTTGTAGAAGGGATTGTTTTTCATATATGGCTTGAACTAAACATCCTCTGAAGTCCCTTCAGACTCTGGAAAGTTATGATCATTAAAGAAAGTCTTTTCATTTAGGAACATATTATTGATAAATCTGCAAAACAAGGAGAAAATGATGACAATGAACAAGTGAAGGAACTGTGTAAAGGTAAAATTTTAATCCAAAAGTGCATAGTTTAAATATTACCAATCTAATGGCTTAATTCTAGTGTCCATTGATACATAATTCTTTAAAATGAGGGTTAAGATCTGCGTTTCTTAAGGATGGTCTGATGTTTGTTTCTAATATAGTATATATTTTCTTGTTTTTAATCACTGCTTCATATGATATGTATCTTTTACTTTCAAAAAAAAGAATTTACTGCTGGTGAAGAGCCCAGTGTTTCAAATGTCAAGGAAGAAAGTAAAGATTTCAAGTCAGAATTTGCAAGTACCCGTCCCAAAAGGTAAAAAATATGTACTGGGGTTTGCATATGACTTAAAGAACATAATCTTTTCTCTGGGAAGTGACTTGATATCTTTTCTGAAATTTGCTGACATGGTATCTCCAGATCTTCTTAACTTACCTTGCTGTGTTGATGGAGAGAACTGGGAGGGGACAATTCTGCCCCCGCCAGAATGCCTACGTAAATGAGATCATCAGTCTAGCCTAGAATAGTGACTTAGATGATTGTGGTTTTCTAGAATAGGAATAAAGGTGCCTCTGGCCAAACTCTCTGCGTTTTCACTTGCTAAGTGGTGGGGAAAATGGCTTGTTAACTATTACAGAACATAGCTAGATACCAACATTGAAAGGCAAGTTTTGAACTTTGCTTTGTAAAATTATTTCCCATTAGTTATCAATTAAAAAGTATGAAGGTAAGATAAACCTGCTTTGCTCATGGCAAATTTAACACAAAATTCATGTGTCACTTGCTGCTCAAGTGTCTAGTAACTTTTTCATGTATCTGATGTTTTTGCAAAACTATTTATTTTTTAGAAGAAAAGCCACTGTTAAGTATACTGAAAGCAGTGACTCAGAAGAGGTGGAGTTAAATGAATTACCACATAAAATAAAAGGTAACCTGAAATATTATTTGGTTTACTATTTTGTCACATATGCTAATTGATTGTGACAATTTTTTATGTATTACTTTTACAGCCAGACCAAGACAGGAACAGCCTGTGACTAAAGGCAGAATTAAAAGTATGTATCTTCTACTTATAGTAGAATAAAGAATAGTGGAGTAAATTTTACTAAATTTTTTATCACTGACTTGCAATCTATGATAATTGCACATGGACTTAGCTCAAGTTTGCTCTTGTTGAGATTTATTAAATTAATTAAATTTATTAAATTAAATTAATGACTCACAAATTATAATAGTTATAATTCTTAGATTCTGCTAAAGTTGGTTAAGAAGGCAGCATGGAGGCTTTCGAAACATTTTTAGAAAGAAAAGAAGACCACATCATTGAGTGTATAGAGAGTGACCCTGGGCAAATCAGTTAAGTCCCGGGGGAGGGGGGGCTTTTTGGTGAGGCAGTCGGAGTTAGGTGACTTGCCCAGGGTCACACAGCTAGTAAGTGTCAGGTGTCTGAGGCCAGATTTGTACTCAAGTCCTCCTGACTCCAAGGCTGGAGCTCTACCTACACTGTGCCCCCAGCTGCTCTTAAGACTCTTCCTTAGGCAGCTCTCAGATGGGTTCTTGGGATGGAGTCCACAGATCCTAGGGGATCTGTAAACTTGGGTGGGGGAAATGGCATCTTTTTTTCAACATAATTGGTTTCTGTTGCAATCCTGTATATTTTGTGCATTTAGAAACGTTCTGAGGATTCTAAGACCGCCAAAGAAGTTCGTGACAAAAAAAGACTAAGATAATAACTTACAGAGTAGGAGCCAATTTGAATTGTTTGGGACAGTGTCCTCTTTGGTCATTCCTTGTACTGTACAATGAAGTTACAGGTACAGTCCTAGGGGAATCTAGCCAACTTCCTCATTTTATACAGAAGGAAATTAGAGCTGAGAAAAGTCACTTGCCCAGAGCCATTCAGTAGATCTAGAACTAGAATTAAAGTCTCCTTACTCAGCCAGCCTGTTTGTCTTTTTACCAACCAGCCTGTTCAATCATTTCATTTGTGTCTGCCTCTTTGTGACTCTTTTTTGGGGGTTTTCTAGCAAAGATACCGGAGTGGCTTGCCATTTCCTTCTCCAGCTCATTTTACAGATGAGGAACTGAGGCAAACAGGGTTAAGTGACTTGCCCAGGGTCACACAGCTGGCAAGTGTCTGAGGCCAGATTTGAACTCAGGAAGATGTCTTTCTGACTCCAGGCCTGGACCACCTACCTGCCCCTTTGAAAACTTAGTTAATTCATGTTATTGTATACTATAAAAGTGAACACTTAAAATTTAAATATCAAATTTTTTTCTTTTCTGTAGTTTAAATATTGCCAGTACCATTCCAAGTTAGTGAAGTTTTACTCTGTGAAGAAATGAAATTGCTGTTACCAGATGGCTAATGACTGATGCAAAAATTGAGTAGGCTTGTCTAAGGACAATCTACATATCTGCATGGGAGCAGAATTCTCTATTTCTGGTTCTGTGACGTGGGTGACAGTATTGTAGATTGCTTACTATGGAGTAGTAGGCCAGCCTTGTAGTGTTAACAGAGTCTAAGAAAGAATGTAGTAATGACTTCATGTTATGTGTGTTCTCTACTGCAAAGTTAGTATGACTAATGGTACGATCTTCATTTTTCTTCTAAGGATTTTCTAAGACCAAAGAAGATGCAGACTTTGCATGTGCACTTGAGCCATCTGCCCCTCTGGTAAAAAAGAAAGCCATGAAAAAAGGTCAGCAGCAGTCCTGATACTTCAATTTCTATTTTTAGTTCAGTCAGGAAATGATATAACTTGAGGAATTTTTTTATGTATTATAGATAATTACAAGTTACGTATCTATATATCTGTGTAGCAGAAATTATGGTATCCTATAGCTCTGTAATTGAGTTGAGAGAAACAGATTTGCCTTTTTCAATGTTAAGCCAGACTGAAGAACTATAAATAGTTGTTAAAGACCATGAAGATATTTTGAATATAATTTTGTTGATTTTAGTGAAAGAATGAAAGAAATGTTGGGGTATGATTTTTAGTTTGAAATCATCCTTTGGTGAAATTACAAAATCATAAGTGAGTACAGTTTTGATTTAATTGGTTCCCTTACTTTGTCTTAAAGTCTATAACGTGTATTACGTTGGGAAAATAATTTATACTTCTGTTTCCTGATTTATGAAATCAGGAGGTGGGTCTAGATGGCCCCTCACTTCACTTCCAACCTTTCAATCTGTCCTCCTAGATTCCTGTACTTATATTGCTACCTCTTCTGGCATCTTTGTCCTATTAGGTTAAGCTAACAGTAAGTTGTAAGGACATTAATTGTCAGATGAATTTTAAAAACCAGTAAGTTGAGAATAAGGTAAATGTGTATGAATTTGCTCATTATGATAACCAGATGCTGGGATCAATGCCTTTCCTAAGCAAGAGCTTAAACATTTCATTAAACTTTATTTACAACTACGCTATAACAGACTGACCATGTAACTTAGTGAAGAGGTCTGGAAAAAATAAAAATGCCCAAAAGGTTTAAAAAACTGAGTTACTTGCAAATTTCAAATTGTTTAGATAGTTTGAGGCTGCTTTAGTAGATGCTAGAAATTGTAAAAGGGTGTAAAATGAGAGTCAGTCATTGCTAAGAATTTTAGAGGTTCTGATTTTCCTTGTTATTGTTGCTCTGGGATATGAACATAATATGGCCTGAATATTTTGTGTTGATGTTTTATTATGAAATTATTACTTTAAAAGTCTGGATCTTTTTTTTTTTGCCAGTAGGTCACCTATTGAATTTTGTCATACGTAACAGATGAAAAATAGGAACTGATTTTTTGGCAAACTTAGCTTGGTTGAATATCCTGCTAAGCAATGGGTGCAGTAGAATTTCCTTTTAGTATTTATGGTACCCTCTTTTACATACTATTGCCAGCTGGAATGCCTGGTTCCCCTAGTGCCTACTATAGTGACTTGCACATACCATTTATAAGTATATATTGGATAATTCATGATGTGAATCAGGCATCAGCTGGGACTTAAATCATATGGCTTGGAATTCTCAGTGTGTTGGTATTGGTCATAAGGATAAATAACATGAGGGTTGTATGGGGAGTATATTGTATCAAATGATTCAGCAAGGATAAACTGCTTTATGAATTTTGAGTGATTTTAACATAACTAAACTACATGAAGGACTGTGTTCCTATTAATGGTTATTCTTTCAGGAGCTACCATAGTACAGTGCTCTAAGAAAATTGACAATGAAGCGAAACCAAGAGCAACGTTGATCATCTGTCCTCTTTCTGTTTTAAGCAATTGGATTGTAAGTTTTATTACTACATCTTAAAATTCTGTAGCATGTCATTGAACTTGTAAGTCATTTTAGTCTTATGGTTGGAAATCCTCTGATTATGATTTGGAAGGATAGTACCAATTTTGTTTTTTACCTGTAATTAGCAGTTTTGCTAAAATTAGCACAACCTTTATTCTAAGTCAGAAATTAAAGAAAGGAAAGATACCTGCTTGTAAACTATTCACCACAAAGTCTGTGAAATACTTCTTTCCCAGAAGCCAAAATAAAACAGTATAAAGGAAGCATTGTCTGTGGGATGCCATAGACGTTTATCAGTTCTGTGACCCTGGGCAGTCCCTTAATTTCTGCCTCAGTTTCCTCATTTGAGAAATGGGGTAATAGCACCTACCTCCCTAGGTCGTCATGAAGATCAAGTAAGACGATAATTATAAAGCTTGGCATAGTGCCTAGCACATATTAAGGGCTATATAAAAGCTAATTTTTATTATCATTATAACGAAATTAAGGAGAGTGAAGATTGATACATGTTAGAATGTGAGCATACTCTATGTACAGTTTTGGTGGATCTGTGAAGGGGTTCAGTCAATTTTTCAAAATTTCAGTTTTGAATTTTCCAAGAAAACATTTTCTCTTGAATTCCTCCACTGGTCATATGTGCCAGGGAAGTCAAAGCTCAAAACAATGCAAGAATATACCAAAATAAACATAACATACTCTTTATGATAGTGGAGACCTAGAAGCAAAGTGACTGGAAAAAATTGGTAGTACATAAATATAATGGAATATTATCATACATTAAGAAATAAGGAATTCAGAGAAGAAACAGGAAATTTGTATAAACTGATTTTGAGTGAAATAAGTAGAACTAAAAGAACAATATACAGAGACTACAACCATGTAACTGAAAAGATTATCTGAGTAATTTGGAGGCCAGTGAAGGTACTGGAGAGCAGATAAACATAATTCTTCCTTCCCCATGACAGAGTGACAGAGTACTTAATTTTTTGTCTTTGCCACAAGAGAGATTTCTGCCTTCATTCAGGGAAAGGTTTAAAATCACTGTTGTAATGTTAAAAGATGTTAAAGGTTTTTTTAAAAGATACATCATTTCTTCACTGTTAATTTTTTCACATATAATGCATAGTATTAAATTAGTAAAATCAGTATTATGCTTACGGATTAAAACCGTTTTTTCTTTTAGGACCAGTTTGGACAACATATAAAATCAGATGTGCACTTGAATTTGTATGTTTACTATGGCCCTGATCGCAGCAAAGACCCTGCCTTGCTTTCAAAACAGGATATTGTTTTGACTACGTATAATATTTTGACTTATGATTATGGAGTAAGTATGCTTGAAATTGTTCTATTTAGGATTAGAGATTTTAATAGTTCCACTTTTTTGTTACATGAGGAAGTGTTTATGATAGCAATATAATAAAGAGATATCTGGCACAGTGTTTTTTAATGGACTTAATACTTTGATAACGCAGTTTCCTAATGCTTCTAGAAAACTGTACTTACTACAAGGACAGGTTTAAAATTTTATATTTTAAAACATAATAGCAAAACTGAAATTCTGTCAAGGATTATACTGCTTGGCTTAAAATAGGATGATTTTGCTATGCCCAGTAATTTCATTGGCATTTTCAGTATAACATCTTAGTATTTTGCTATAGGTTTTTCCTTCCCACGTTATCAGTGAGTTTATATCAATAGTTGACCTGAGCTGTTTCTGTTTATTTCAGAGCAGAGGGGATAGTCCGTTACACAAAATAAGGTGGCTGAGAGTCATTCTGGATGAAGGTCATACCATACGGAATCCAAATGCTCAACAAACAAAAGCTGCACTAGATCTGGAGGCTGAAAGACGATGGGTGCTGACAGGTAATCTGCATTACCTATCAAAGTTCAGTTTAGTCACTTTTAAAAATGTATTTGCAAGTAAGTGAGTGGGAAATTATAGGAAGGTTCAGGCATATGTAGGAAATGCTTCCTGTGACAGTTGTTTCCTGCAAAGCTTTGGCATATGTTCCTAGAAGTCTCATGTTGGGTAGTATGCCTGCACATCACAATTCAAAATTACAGAATCAAAAACAGACTTTTTCTTAAAAGTGTAGGGCTCGGTACTTAGCCTTTTGTTGTTTATTTTGGGCCATTTTACTGCTGATTAAAAGATTGAAAAGAGAATAGAAGACAATACGATTAAAATGTTCTGTTTGCTAGTCTAATTACAGCACTTTTGATGCGGAACCATGTTGAAATTCAAGTAAGGATTTTATTATTTGTGCCTGCTCTGTTCTATAATTTAAAAATTGTGAGATGCCCAAAGTGTAAGAAGTATAGCGGTTCTCTTTGAGGTTCTATAGATGCTCGTGAAGTTGCTGCAGTGGCTTTAAAATATATTTAAGTTCCAGTTTATTAAAGAAATTCTAATTTTTTTAGGTACTCCAATCCAGAATTCATTAAAGGATTTGTGGTCACTGCTTTCCTTTTTAAAACTGAAGCCATTTACTGATAGAGAATGGTGGCACCGAACAATCCAGCGTCCTGTCACGATGGGAGATGAGGGGGGACTTCGGTATGCTGTGTCTGTGTGATTATTTTGTTTTGTTTTGGTTTTTTGGCTAGGCAGTGGGGTTAAGTGATTTGCCCAGGGTCACACAGCTAGTAAGTGTTATATGTCTGAGGCTGAATTTGAACTCAGTTCCTCCTGAATCCAGGGCCAGTGCTCTATCCACTGCGCCGCCTACCTGCCTCATGTCTGTGTGATTATTGAGCCAGGGGCTAACAGTCATTCTTTTGGGGATGTTTGACTGTCCCTTTTCCCCTACCCCTACTGATCGCTAACCATCTTTCCATTCAGCTCTTCTCATTTCCAGCCTTTTCTAGGGGCTTTTAGTTTGTTGACAGACCTGTAATAGGGACTCCTTTTGCAACCTCTCTGCAATGGCTTTGTGTGTTCACACAGCTAAGGGGTTGTCACACTACCCCAAATGCCATCTGAAGTCATTTGATTGATTGTCTGCTTCTAGGGCATGGCCTTCTGGCACATCATCCCATGCACTCATGTGCGGTCATTTGTACACATGGAAGAGGAGTTGGATCATTGGATCAAAGGGAGCTGAAAGGGAGTAGAGGGGCTGTCTGTTCAGCTCCTTCATTTTACAAAGGACACTGCCCTGGACAAGTTAAATGACCTAAGACTGGTTCTGTGTGGACTTAGAAAGCAGAACTGGCAGAAGTTGAAGAGGCAGATTTAGGGGTAATTTAAGGAGAGATTATAATTATATTTATATATTATATATGTTTATATAATTATAATTCCTTCTTTAGCTACCTTTGATAGGTAGAGAAGGTCCATTCAATGAAGGTCTTTAAGCAGAGACTAAGTGACTACTTGAAGAAAAGAAAAGAAAGAATCACAATAGGGAGAAAGGATAAGAAGGAAAAAAAGTAGTAAAAAGAAAACAATGAAGGTGAAATAAGAAAAGAGAATAGAGCCAGTTGTTGTCATTAGACATTTTATTGGTTTTTTGTTTTGTTTTTTTTGCAGACATTGAGTAGGCACAGTATGCTAGCATTAAGTATCATCTCTATTCACAAGAATTCATGGTCTAGTTTTGGGGGTAAAATATATGTCTATATGCACATAACAATACAAATAGCATTTGTCAAAGGAGTGGTATAAATAATAACTGTTACATGATTTTAGAGGCACAAATCAAATAGAATATGTTGAAAATGATGGGCATTCTCATTACAAAAGTAAAATATGTATATAGGATGGTGCACATGTCATAGGGAGGCAATGAGGACAGGAGAGAAAAAAGCCAGAATAAAATAGAATTTAAGAAGAAAGAGTAGTAATAGAAAAAGAGGAAAGGAGTTGAAAAAGAAAAATACCTAAATGATCAAGCCTAGAGAATAAGATAAATTGGTTTTTTAAGAATTTACCAGATGTCTCACATTCAGTTGGGTATGGAAATCTGTCTTACCCTATGGGAAAATAGGGGGAGAAGGGGACAGGAGAGCAGGGGGATGATAGGGAGGAGGGCAGATTGGGAAAGGCGGTAATCAGAAGTAAATACTAATGAGGAGGGACAAGGTCAAAAGAAAGAACAGAATAAATGGGAAGGCAGGATAGGATTAAGGGAAAGAGAGTTAGTTTTTCACAACATGTCTATTATGGAAGTGTTTTGCGTAACTGCACATTTACAACCTATATTGAGTTGCTTGCCTTTTCAGTGAGGGTGGGTAGGGAGGGAGGAAGAGAGAAAATTTGGAACCTAAAGTTGTAAAAACATGTTTAAAAAAATATATTTTCACATGCTACTGGGAAATAAGAAATACAGGAAATGGGGTACAGAAGTCTATCCTGCCCTACAGGAAAATAGAAGGGGAAGGGGATGAGAGAAGGGGGGAGAGATAGAAGAGAGGACAGACTAGGGGAAGGGATATTCAGAATGCATGACATCTTGGGGTGGGGGGAAGGGGAGATGGGGTGAAAATTTGGAACTCAAAAACTTGTGGAAGTGAATGTTGAAAACTAAAAATAAATGAATTTATATTTTAAAAAAATTTACCAGATATCTCTGTTCATAAGCACTTCTGTGACTTTCAAGTTGGTTAAAACTTCAAATAGAAATAAACTAAGTATAAATTTCCACTAAACTGCAATATATTTTTGTCTTTATTATCAAATTGTGTGTCTGAAAGCAGTGAGTTGTACATGCAGTTCTTTTTGTCTTTCCTAGGCGTTTACAATCCCTAATTAAAAATATTACCCTTAGAAGGACAAAAACAAGCAAAATTAAAGGCAGGCCTGTTTTGGAGTTACCAGAGCGTAAAGTATTTATTCAGCACATCACCCTTACTGACGAAGAGAGACAGATTTACCAGTCTGTAAAGAATGAAGGCAGAGCTGCAATCGGCAGGTATGGAAAACCATACTCGAAGAATGCTAATTTTTTTTCATCAAGGTTTTATAAAATCTTCTGGGCATGGTAATATTAAAGGACTAAAATGATGATAGTGATTTTCATTTTTATAATTGAAATATGCTATGAACCAGAACATCTAGTAGCTAGGTGATCCCAGTGGTTAGAGTACTGTTCCTGGAGTCAGGAAGACCTGAGTTCAAACTGGCTCAGATACTTAGTGTGCAGCACTGGACAAATCACTTAATCTCTGACTGTCTCACCTTCCTCACCTGAAAGTGAAGATAATAGCCAAACAAACATACAGCATTGCTCAGCGCAGGGCTTGGCACGTAGTAGGTACTTATTTTTTCCCTGCCGTGATCTAGTTTGAGCATTTCTGCTCAGCATTGGAGTTGGGATAGTGACCAGACCTGTGATTTCAGGGGTGTAGAAAGCTCCTTTGAAGATACTTTGTACCTTTGCTTCTGTGCACTGAACACCCATTGCGTAGCCAATATGTGTCATTGATGGGACTTGAAACTCAGATCTTCCTGTTTCAGAGAGCATCTTCTATACACTATATAAGTAGCTTCTCATCTCACTTAGAGATCATCTAATTGCTAGAAGCTTTTTCTGACCTCAAGTCTAGATTGGCTTCTTTGCAAGTTTCCATCTGACAAAGAAAGCATTATGAACTCTAAAAGCTGACTCCTGAGAGGTCAGAGGCTACCTGGCCAAGAGGCAGGGCAGTGACCCTTCCCTCCTTAGCAGTGCTCAGCTCATGGGCCCCGAAGCATCCCCTGAAAATGGGGAATGCCTTTGGTGCTTGAGCAAGTTGGCAAGATCACCAGGATAGTCTAGGGGGCAGGTAGGAATAACGGGGCTAGGATTTGAAGGAGGTGAGTGCCAAGTAAGACGATGAGGCTGGTGCTTTAGAAGTCTCTGCGATTTCCTCCAGAACAGACTCTGCCATGCTGTGACATGTAAAAGTGAGCTGATGATGATGATGATGATGATGATGATGATGATGATGGTGATAAGAGGAAGGAAGTGGAAGATAGAGAAGGCATCTGAGTGAAATGGGTTCTGAAAGTTGTAGATCTTCTGTGAAGTAAACCTAGTGGAAAGAATGGCTTCAGGACCTGGGCAACAGTTATAGCTCTGCCACTGATTAACTGTGGGGCTCTGGGCATGTCACTACCTCTCTTAAGGTGTACTTTGTTCTCATTTGTTAAAGTGAGATTGAGGTCTCTCTGAGCTCTATGTTTATGCTTATGAGCCTACGAGATAATGAGGCCAAAGTGACATTAAATGACAGAGGCATGATGGAATTGGATGGTTGTGTGGTTGAGGAAGTTTGTGCGTTTGTGTGTGTATGCATGCGTGCACACATTTAGGCCTTGTACGCAGAGTTTGTGTGTCATTCAACTGCAACTGCTTTATGATGTGTTGTGTTTTGACTTTATTCTAATAATCTTTAGGTATTTTAATGAAGGCACTGTGCTTGCACACTATGCAGATGTCTTGGGCCTTTTGCTCAGACTGAGACAATTATGTTGTCATCCTCATCTCTTTACAAATACAGCATCTTCCAGTGGTCCCTCAGGTTAGTAAATTTAATTGGGTTTACACTATTGTAGTTTATCAGAAATACATTGTTCAGAATCAGAATTCTTTAAGTGACCATTTCATTTTCCTTATGAAATACTGGTTATGATCATATTTTGTTTTATTTTTCATGAATGCACAGTAGACCTGAGTATATAATTTAGATATGGTAACACATTGGTAATGTATTTGAAAATTTTTTGCAGAGCCATAGTGTAGATGAAATGGTATTACTAATGAAGCTTTTCTGTTATTGCTTAAAAGATCCCCCTAAGGGTTCAGTATCTGGCAGTGTCATATAAGTTGAAGGAATACTTACTTGCCTTCGACTCAAGCCCTGGTTTCAAGTCTTTATCTATTACCTGTAACCTCTAGTGACCACAAGCAAGTCATTTGATCTCATTGGGTCTCAGTGTCCCCACTTACAAAATGAGGGGATTGCAGTAGATGATTTTTGGGATCCTTTCTTGCTCTAATACATAGAATTTGCCTTTCTCTGAATTTTTCTGTAGAGTAGGTTGTGCACAGTATGTTTTATTTGTGCATTACCTAGTTTTGGGAGTACTATTTAGTGTTGTTACATTATCTAATTTAAATAATAGACCCAATCTATGAAGTAGGATAAAGCATAGTCTATTCCTGTAAGTTAACTTTTTCATTCATTAAGAGTAGCTATGTGTAATTAATTTGCTTTCTGTACCCAACTGTCATAGGAGATGATACACCTGAAGAACTACGAAAGAAGTTGATTAGCAAGATGAAGTTAATTCTGAGCTCTGGCTCAGATGAAGAGTGTGCGATTTGCTTGGATTCTCTAAATATTCCTGTGATAACACACTGTGCACATGTATTTTGTAAACCATGCATTTGTCAAGTAATTCAGAATGAGCGGGTTAGTTTTTGCTTCTTTCATACTGAATTAACCAGATGATAATTTGTCAAAATTTCATGTAGATCTTTTTTCTAGAGAATGAAACAATATAATTTAAATATGAACCGTTCATACTTTACCGTTCTAGCAAAATTCAATTAAGCAAATATTTATTAAACACTTTGTGCAGAATATTGTACTAGAATTGGGGCAGAAAATGTTTTGATAATCTCTGTTCTCACGGAGCTTACATTTGGTACGGAAAAGAAAATAAATGTTTTAAAAAGGTGAAAAATGGTAGGACAAGAGGTCTAAGTGGATGATGGGCTAAAGATGGTTAGGAAATCCATACCCCATTCCCACCCCACTTTTCATGATCTAGCCAAACCTACCTTCCACAGCCTTCATCTCCAGGCTGAACCTTTGCATACATAGCTTGTCCCCCATACCTGGAGTGTGCCTCCCTCATTTACCTGTTAAACTCTCTAGTTCCATTCAAAGCTTAGCTCAAGGGCCACCGTAGATGTGAGTCCTTTCCTGACACCCTGTATTATCCTTCAGTTCTTTTATATGTGTTGTATTATTTGCATGTGTGTTGGGGTTTTGTTGTTTGTTGTTTTGCTTTTTGGTGAGGCAATCAGGGTTAAGTGACTTGTCCAGGGTGACACAGCTAGTAAGTGTCAAGTGTCTGAGGCTGGATTTGAACTCAGGTCCTCCTGACTCCAGGGCCAGAGCTCTAATCACTGTGCCACCTAATTGCCCGGTGTTGTTTTTTTAAATAGAAATAAGGTCCTTGTGAACAAGGATGAGTTCCTTTGTATTCCCAGCACCTTGCACCTAGTTAGCACCTAATACACGTTTGTTTAATCCAAGTAGGGATATCTTACAGACAGTCAAAAGTACAGGTCTGGTATTCATAATAGTTGACATTTATGTAGAACCTTTTTTTTTGCAAAGTATTGTGTATAATCATTTAATCTTCAAAAGCAGTACTGGAGTAGGTGCTATAACTATTACCTGTATTTTATTTTATTTATTTATTTTTTAGTTAGTTTAACATTTTTCCTTCAACTTAATTTACCTGTATTTTAGTTGAAGAAACTGCTCACACGATCATCCAGTTAGTAATGCAGGAAGAGGAATTTGAGCACTGTTTTCTTGGGACTTCCAAGTCTGTCATTCCTCCCACTGCACTATACTGCCTCTTTACACAGCTACATGTGAAAGGTGACAGTGGAAGCCAGGGGAGTGAAATCATTGTGAAGAGGTGGAGCAAAGCTAGAAGAACCACAAGAATGTGGCATCTGTGAGGGCAGCAGGAGAAGGGATCCAGAAAGAAGAGTTGTGTCAAATGTGGCAGTGCAGTCAGGGACTACTGAGAGGGGGAGGGAAATCAGGCTGCAGAGCAGAGAAGGATAATGGAGATGGGAACATTTTCAAAAAATTCTGGTCTGATCACTTAACCAAAGTTCTTACTTTTCAGTGGCATTGATCTCTATTCAGTATTCTGTTCTAAAAGTAAAAGTGTCTTATTAGGAAAATGATGGTTAGTAATGTCCTTACATCCAGATTCTTTTATTTTGTTAAAAATTTTCTATGTAAGATAACTTTAAATAAGTGATTCGTTTTAACTGGGCGTATGGATACAACCAGCTTTAATCTTGTAGTTTAAAATAAAATTTTGTCCATTCTTAGGTAGTTAGTTAGGTAGGTAATTAAGCAGACAACACTTCCACTTGAATGAAAAACTTTGTAAGATTTAACAGATCTTAACCAGTTTTTTTACTTGACAAAATTGTTTTGACTAAGTAGCTCTAATAAACATGTGCCTTTCAAAACTATAATTTTTTTTAAAAATTGAGTCTTTGAATTCAGGACTAGCCTGTGAAATTTACTTATCTGCCCTGTATTTACTACTTCAAGATCTTTGGCCCTACCCCCAAACTAATACAATACTCTATCTTCATATTAATACTAAATAGTCACTTCTCAGAGAAATAGCCTCAAGGGCCTAACAAAAAGGGGGGCAGAGGGGATGGTATTAAAATACCTTTATCTCTTAGGCATGTTCAGAGCTCTGAACATGTTTCTGTTTTACAGCCAAATGCAAAATGCCCTTTATGCAGAAATGACCTACGAGCAGAAAATTTGGTAGAATGCCCTCCAGAAGAATTGAACTGTAGTGCTGAGAAAAAGACTGATCTGGAATGGATGTCCAGTTCAAAGGTAATTTTCAAAAACTTTGATAAATGTATTACACATACAAAAACATTTGTGTTTGATTCATTTGCACTTGAACTAGGAGATTAGTACAATTTTATCCTATCATTAATGCTTCTAATAAGTAGTAAGAGGGTGTGGGGTAAGTGAGTTTTTGTTGGTTTTTGGTGGAGAAAAACATAATTTATTATACTTTAGATTTCAAGTATTATTTTCTAAGAAATAGAACAGTGAAGAAAGGGTAATTGATGTGTAATTATTCTGTTTTAGCTTTTATACTTACCGATGCTTTTTTATATAAAGAGAAAGTGTGATATTAATGATATATTACACATTTGGAGAGTTTTTGAAATTAGGATAAATACCAAAGATATTTGCTTCCCATTTGTAACTAAAGCATTGAACTTTCAGAGTAATTTTAACAGCATAATTTTTGCCAGTTCAAAGTGGAATTTGATGGGTTACATACAATTTTGTTTTTTCAGATCAATGCTCTAATGCATGCTTTGATTGACTTAAGAAAGAAGAACCCCCAAATCAAAAGTTTAGTTGTTTCACAATTCACAACTTTCCTGTCTTTATTAGAAACACCACTTAAGTAAGTTGAACAGTGTTTATCACTTTGAGTAAAAAGGTTTTAAGTGTTTTGCTGTATGAAATTTATATCAGAAAGACAGTATTGTGTACCCATTTTATATATTTTCTTTCCATTTAACTTTTGTACAAGTTATAATTAGGAATTTTTGTAACAACATACAGTATTGTTTTAAATCCTGAACTTATCAGAAAAGCCATGTGTGCAAATAATTACTTGACTGTTGTTAATAACAATCCAGTAAATTTTTTTTTAATTTTCTTAAAGAGCATCTGGGTTTGTGTTTACTCGTTTGGATGGCTCCATGGCCCAGAAGAAGAGAGTTGAATCAATTCAGTGTTTCCAGAAAACCGAAGCAGGATCTCCCACAATAATGCTTCTTTCTCTAAAAGCTGGTGGAGTTGGTTTGAATCTCTGTGCAGCCTCTCGAGTATTTTTAATGGATCCAGTAAGTAATCTTAGCGATCTACATGACAGGGACATTTTTTAAACAGAATTATAGAGGAAACACCAAATATTTTTATTGAGAAGGTAGTGATCATACCTTTCAATTGTAGAATGACTCTTCATTTACTTTGGTTTGTCTAATTGCAAAATACCACAGGGGCCTCAGGTATTAAGGGACTGGCTGCATTCTCAGCACTTAAATGGTACTTTAGGCATAACAGGTGCTTAATAAACATTGAGTATAATAAATGCATGTTAACTGTTTAATGGATTAGGAAACAGACAATTAGATGACTCAAAAGTCACCTAGCTATGAATTGGCAGGGCTGATTAAGTCAAATAACTTTTCAAGAGCTTTCTAAGGGACTGTTTAGTTAAAAGTAACCAATGGAAACAAAAGTAATACTACCATAAAAACTGATTGAGGAAATTCAAAGGTGAGGAGGGGCTTTACAGGAGTTTCATCATTTATAGAAAGAATATTTAAGTGAAGTAGAATTTCTTAAATGGAGTTCCGATTTAATGGAATTTTTAAGCTAACTCTTTTAAACGTCACCAACCTTTTTTTGTTCTAATAGTACCATGGATTTCAAGATAGAACTGACTCTAGAAGTCATTTAGTTTACCCCACCCCACCTGTTATAGAAAGGAACCTGATACCTAGAGAAGTTGTGCCTTGCTTGGGTTTGCATTGGGGTAATATGTGGTGGAATGGGATTTTTGAACTCAGGACTCCAAAACCACAGTAATAATAAGAGAGCTGATCTCTATATAGCACTTGAACACTTTGCAAAGTACGTTATACAGATTAACTCAGTTGATCTACTTATGATAAACCCGTGAAATATGTATTACTTATTGTCCATCTCTTGCAAATGAGGAAAATCTGATTGAGAAAGGTGAAGTGATTTGCACAGGTTGCGCAAGCCAGCAGCCAGTGTCTGAGGCAAAGTTTACATCCAGCATTGCTATGTATTTAGCATAGAGCTTGATCCCTACACCTGCTGCCTCCCTGACATCCATTTTATCTCTGAGAACCAGAACTCTTAAAATTCCCCTGACCACAATACATCCTCCTTCTTCTTAATCTCATCTTCATCCTCACTTCTAGTTTTCCAACCTTACTCCATTCTCCTGGTCCTGTAGTTTCTCTAGTGTTTTAAATGGCAACAGTAAGAAATCTTACAGGTTTAGAGGTCTTGATAGGGATGTTAAAAATGATAACAACAATATGGCCACCTGTTAAAGGGTGAATAATAACAACAATATTGCCACCTGTTAAAGGGTGCTCAGGTAACCCACCTACCTTGGCTTATAGCTTTTCAACCTTGAGTCACCAACCTTTTACTTTGCTATTGGGTGTTGAGCAGTGCCAGAGGACAATCACAATGACTTTCTGCGCTGGTTGCTATTAAGTATGTATTACGTGTTAATGTAGGTGTAAAATAAAAAGATAGTTTCTTTAATAGTGTATGTTGAACATTTTAGATTTTGATGTACAAACTTGCACTACTAGCAGTATGGCCATTGATTATCACTGTATTATTGAGATACAGAAGTTGTGAGAAATTGGACTAAATATGTTTTGATCCTGGTTCATTTACCTTATTTTATTGTGTTTTTGTTAAAATCATCAGTACTAAGTTTATTTTATCTGGTAGGATTTAATTTGGCACGTATTTTAGTGGAAAATAGAGAACAATTATCAGAATTGCAAAATTATGAAAGGGAAACCATATTTTGCAATTTACTTTTGGTAAAAAGTCACAAAATTGTTTTAATTTCTTTTAATTGTCTAGCCTCCTAAAATACACTACTCACTTTTTAAAGTTCTTTTGAATTCTTAATGAACATAGGGTTAGAAACAGATAATCTGATAGTTTACTGAAAAATACACAACATAGGAAGTTAAATGTGTTAGAAGCCCATCAGATAAAAATGCGACAAAGATATCAAGAATTTGCAGCCCCCAAAAAAGCCAGAACCAAATTAAAATGTAATTGGCAAATGTTTAACAAAATAAATAAAAACACAATGCAGCATAGATAATGTTAATTTTTAGTTTTCTGAGCCAGTGTGTAGCCTTTAAGGATCCCTTTCTATTTGAGTTTGACACTATTGAGCTGGAAACTATCAAAGAGAGACAGCTTCATCCTGTATAGATTTATCTGACTCAGATGTATAGTAACAAATCTAACATGTGGCCATAGGATTTTTATATTCCTAGATAAAAAAAACCTCATCTATATAATGACTTTAAAATTCCTCCCGAATGGAGTAAGAGAAAATAGTCATAGAAAAAGGTAATCTTTCCTCTTCAGAAAGCTGCCCAGATAGGCATGTCTTTGAATTTTTCTGTTTCTGTTCCAAAGGGAACTCTCCAACTAAATTGTAGCAGTAAAAGCAAAAACTAACAAAAAAGGGGATGTCCAGAAACTAAATGCAAACCAGGAAACATTACTGAACACCAACCCCAAAATGTTTGTTAATACTTAATGAGGCATAGCCTTTTTAAAGAATATAATACTGCTTTTCCTAATTACCACCTCTGATCAGCCACAGTCAGATGCACTGTAACTTGACTCTAACATAGTGATGTCATTTTGGTCCTCTTTGAAAAGGAAGAACAACAGTCATACCCCTAGAAATGTTACCATGTATATATTTATGTAAATATGCATACATACTTTGATGTGCCATGTATAAAAATAGACAAAACCTCTTTACAGATTAACAGATGTAAGAGGTCAATTGTAAGAGAATTCTACAGTGAATAGAACAGTTACACAGACATAAGATAATAACCTAAGAAATGCCATGTTGGCCCAGCCCTGCTTTCTATCCAGTCCATTTTCTGGTATGGGCACCTTGTGATGTTTTGTGGTCTTCAAGAGGTCTTCAGGGTGTAGCCCCCAAAAGCATCTAATATCTATTTATCATATCTCTAAAGCCTTGAGCATATTGATATTACCAGACATGATCATATACTCTTTGGAGAGGTAACCAACTATTATGGGAAGAGCAGTGGGGTCAGTAGTCATTTAGCTGAATGTCCCACCACTGCCTCTGACATGGATTGTATGATCCACCACTGGCATGTTCCCTGACCTTTCCAAGATGTGCAGTTGCCTAGTCTGTTAAAAAGGGGTGAGAATCTGTCATCTAGACTGAGGAGGAGAAACAGGAATCACTAATTCATACAGAAAGATCCCAACAGATCACAATGTTAACTTAGTTTTTGTTTTCAGTGTATTTTTATTTTTAAAAATATTTCTCAGTTACATTTTAATCTAGTTCACCATCTACTCAGAGGACTTGTGGGCTGTGTGTTTAACACCTCTGACCTATACCAGCTTCTTCATTAAACTATTCCATCCATAAAAACTGGAACTTTTAAAACCCCATGCCTTTTACTTTTAACTTTTCCCCCATTTCTTTACTCCTACTGATGGTTTTTTTTTCTTAACTTTCTTAAGTTTAGTCACTTAATTCATCAAGGTGCTGAGGAACAAATGAAATAATAGGTGTAAAGTGCTTTGCAGACCTTTAAATTTAAAGCACTACCGAGTGTCAGATACAACGATTCAGTGTGCACAACAGTATCACATTAATTTTATCTTGATGCACTGGGTCAGTTAGCGTATACAATAGCAGGTATGAAAGGAATTGGACATTACAGAGATTAATATGTGCTAGGAGAATGAGGTAGGTTTCACAGAAGGGCTGGAGTTTGAACTTGACCTTGAAAAATAGGAGTAGGGAAAAAAAAGTAGCTAGACAGCAATCAGAACAAACTATTCTTAAAAACATCTTCTTGCCAGGCCTGGAATCCTGCTGCTGAAGATCAGTGCTTTGACAGATGTCACAGACTTGGCCAGAAGCAGGAAGTGGTCATCACAAAGGTCTGGTTTTGTACAGCTTATTGTTTCCTTAGTCTTTAAAAATATCATACGTTCTGTTTTCAGAGGATCATACTGGCTGTTATTTAGTGTAGTACGCTGAATTGGGGCTCTTGGAGAGTTTGCTCCTTTGAATATAAAGTTGTTTTTATCAGACATCATAGTTACAGTTTGCTTTCTGCCTTCAGGCCAAGTACTTAGTTGATAGAGAATCATATTAAGTAGTAGCATAAAGAATTAATTCTCAACTTCCTAATTATGATGCCATAAATAGAAAAGAGGAGGAGTATAGTAATTTCCAATTTCTCCAGTTGCTGTGATAATTCCATGTGATGATAGGATCACACATCTAGAGCTAGAAGGAAACTTCATACATCCCCTAGTCGTTTACCCTAGTCATGCACTCCCTCCCATTCTGTTCCTATTGGCCTCCCTCCCCCATTTTACACCTGAGGAATGAGGTCCATGAGTAGAAATGATTTGCTTAAAGCCACATAGCTGGTCAGAGACAGGATTTACTCATCTTCTGACTTCAGAGTCAGAGTTCTCTCCCGGTACCATGCTACTTTCTTTGCCTTTATGATGCGTAGCTTAAAGTTGTGAAATATTTGTGAAAAATCACAATAAATTTTCTGCACTAGAAAACGTTTTCCCAATTTTTGAAAAATAATTTCATTGTTTCTCAAATTGACTGTGGGAACTTCAGATTTTGATTGCATATTTGCCTTAGAATCATCCACGTGATGCAACAGTGAAACGTTTGATAGAGAATCTGCAATGTTTTGTTTTCACGTTAGTGAATTTAATAAGTGTGGTTTTTAAAATTCTTGTTTTTATTTTTTTTAAGTTCATTGTGAAGGACTCTGTGGAAGAAAATATGCTGAAAATACAGAACAAAAAGAGGGAACTTGCTGCAGGAGCCTTTGGAACCAAAAAGCCTAATGCTAGTGAGATGAAACAAGCTAAAATTAATGAAATCAAAACTTTAATTGATTTGTAATTTGTATGGTGTTAGGCCAGGTGAGTTTAACTGGTCAAATACAGATTTACAAAATCTTTGGAAGAGGTAATTTGGAGCCTGCGATTTGTATCTTTCTTAAAAAGGTACAGAACAACTTTATTAGTGACAAGATAATTGACATGTTATCTCTTCTGAATCTGAACTTGTTCTTAATGATAGTTCAAATAGCAATAAGTACTACTGTGTACAGTGACCTAAAATAATTTTATGGGAGACAATTACTTTAGTATTCTACTTTCATAATACCTGTCCTAAGTATTCTTAAACTAATTCTCACCAGGTACACAGCCTTTTCACTTTTGACAGAATGTCAAGCCTTTTACACTTCTTGAGCAAATAAGTTGTTTTCTATGTTGATCTATGTTGACCTCTTATTGTTATTCACTCCAGTCTCCTCATTGTGCTTTCTTTTTTTTTTTTGAAATAGATTCAAATAATCTCTCTAAATTTAATTCCCAAGATTGAAATATACACAGAAGGTGCAGTGAATTGATTCATTGGTACTTTATTCAGAGCCAAATTGTATGAGAGGCCAAAGTGTTGGGTCAACAACTTAATTGTGTGTAGTTAAAAAAAATTTAGAAACTGTGTTATAGCAGTACATTCCCCATTATAGTCAAGTAGCACTACATGAAGTGTTTAAAATGTTATCTTGGTACTTAGGTCGTACATACAGGGAGAAAAATCATTCCACCTTATTTGATTTGACAGTTTAAATTATGGAAATGCTAAAAATAGACATTCCTGTAAGTAGATAGTTTTCACTCATGAAGCTTTTTTGAAAAATAACTTTGTAAACTTTTCTAATTCTGAAGTCTGCTTGATGTAACATTGCAATATGTTTGGGTGTATGGTTGAACTAGATGGCCTGACCTAATAAGGTCCATTCACCTTTAAGGTTCTGTGATTCTATTACATCTTGGTCCTGATTCCTCATAAATCTCTTGTGCATGTTCATAACATCAGAACATTTGGAACTTTTAAGAATTCATTCTCATATGCCCATAGAAACCCAGTCATCTTTATTACTTTATGTTAATAAGAAAACTATTAATGGTTGTCACAGAATTCTGGATGGTCCTCTGAGTGCTATTTTAAAATACACACACACACACACACACACACACACACACACACACACACACACACACACACACATATATGAAATTCAGTGATCAGGTTTAGATAGTCAGTGTTACTTCCATATGGAAATAGTTTAGAGAATGTACTTTTTTTTTTAATGAGAAGATGCATTAATTACCGTGATGAAAAAGGATTCATTTTTGGTACAGATGTAAAAGCACCTTAGATTTTACTTATAGTATTTGGTGTCACCTGACTGAAAAGCAAGGAAGATTACTGGCAGTTTAAAGTTGTGGCATATATGTTTTAAGGTTGAGTAAATCTTCCCTAAAACCTAAATTTAGAATTGACTCATGTCAGGTATGCTGGCAGCTAAGCTTGCATTATCCTGTGTAGTTTCTTCTACCATTGTTAAAAGCATTTGGTTCATATCAGATGAAACTAGGAGCTTCATGGCATGTCTCCCTGGGTCAGGGAATGGGAGTTAGAGGCTGTATCCATAACCTTCAGGAGCTGCTTAAGAGGCAGACTTGGGGAAAGCTCTACTGATCTTTGGCCATGGAAGCTTTGGGCAGTTAGAAACATAGCTCAGAACCTGAATTTTCCTACAGAACAAAATTGGATTGACTTGTACAACTCCTTCTCCCTCCTAGTTTCTGTAAAGTTAAGGACTCCCTTGTCTCCTTTCCCAAACATTTGCTGAGTTTCTTTTCCCTCATTTCCAATATTTATTTTGGTGAGTTCTTTCAAAAGTACAAATATTTCCTTAATGTATTGTTAAAGAAAATATGCAAACTACTTTGAAATTTGGGGATGGATACTGGAATTTTAACTTAAGTTAGTGCTGTGTTATGAGCCAGTTTGAGTTTCTGTGATTCAGAAGAAGCTCACTGTGAACAGTTTTGTTGTAAAAGGTAGATGCTATGCCCTATGCATTTGTAATCTGGATTGGATTTCTGTGTTACATTTAAAATCAATAAAAATGTTAGAATTAATTCCACTGGCCTCTTCACTCCTGTAACTTGTCGTGGTAATTTTTTTTTTCCCAAAAATGCCAACAACCTTATCATTAAATCTCACATTTAAGGGAGGTAAGGCCTGTTTTATAAATCACGGGCTTCTTCCATTTCTGCCAACACAGAGTAAAAAAAAAAGGAGTGAGGAGCTGAGAGTGAGGCCTCCTCATTGGACCGTGCAGATGGTTTGGCTGGGATCCATGGAACTCTTTGCTGAAGGTGGCTCATGGCCACCTGGACTGAGGACTACCCAGGGTCCACAGCTGCATGTCCAAGTCACCCACTTCACTGCTTCATACTTGAGTTAAGGACATACTTTGAGATAAGGACAGCCTATGTGCCCATCATATAGAACCATAGAAGGATGAAATGAGATGGCAAGGCACAAAGGTTTACTGGGCCTGCTCCTCCCTGCAGCTGTGGGCACAGGCTGCCATGTGTTAGCAAGCACCATCACCCTTGGGGCTGACACCTAACTGGGAAGTGAACAGGGTCAAGGGGTTTTGGTGGAAAATGCTTGAATTCTTCTGTATCCTTATTTTCCCTGCTGATGAGGGGGTGTTATCGCACTGACACTGGTGGGGTTTGTGAGCCGTTTCATTTCTCCTGATTGTCCAGGATTTAGTTCATGGAGGATTGGAGCTAATTCATTCGAAGCTAAAGGTTAATCATATAATTCATGAATAGAAAGGTCAAAGCAAAAGATGAAGAGGTAATTATCTATTTTTTCTTAGTGTGCTTAGAGGAAATGCACTGTAATCTGTTTCTTCCTTTTGTGTAGAGCTGATGGGTGAAACCAAAATGGAGTTTGCATTCAAGTCATCTGACTTTAAAGACCAGAAACCTCATTATTACCAAAGATAAGTTTGGGAATGAAGCTAAGTGGAGAACAAGTGACATTTATGTGAAAGAAATCTTCATTACAGAAAACAGCTAATCTACCCTTTGGAACAAGTAGATAATTAAAACATTCTTCTAGGCCAGGTGTGGGGAACCTGTGGCCTCAAGGCTTTTGAGTGGGGTGGGGTGGGAGCCAGTTATTTCGTATATCCATGGATTTTTCTTAGTTTGTCTTTTTCGATTCTTAAAAATAAAGTTTTTATAGACTTGGAAACTAAGGTGTGTGTTGAATGTGAGTGTGATATTAATCACAAAAAAATGTTTCCGTTAGACTGCATGTTCCTTGAGGACAGGCGCACTGTCTTCGCCTTTCTTTGTATCACCGGTGTTTAGCATTGTGCCTCGCACATAGGTACTTAATAGATACTTAGTGACAAGCATTTTTTTTGTCTGTGTGTGCCTATCATGTCGGGGACTAATAATTCTAGCTTAATAAACATCTCTGTGGCAAAACATATCTTCAAGCCAACAGCTTATGTTTTATATCCTTGAAATTAATCCCCAAAGCTAATTTGGCAGTTTCTCAATATCTGATTTTTCTCTTTAAAAGAAAAGTAACAACTAGTGCTTGATTACACTTTGAAAGCAAAAGAGGTAAATCTTTCATATGAAAGTGGTGTTCTTGGTTTTATACATCTCACAAACAGACCTACCAACTTAGAGTACTTTACTGGTGTGTGCCAAAGATGTTCTCTAGATTATAGCTTAGACACTGCTAGAGCAGATAATGCAAGAATGTATTCCTCAAGGGCAGATACCTGTTCATTGTTTGCCCTTGTGTGACTTGTGTCTAGCACAGTGCCTGGCACATAGTAGGTGCTTGATAAATAATGTTGAATGACTTTATAACCCTATTCTGAGCCATCCATTTCACAAACACACTGAGGATAACAAAGCTGAGTGTTGTAATTCATGCATTTCATAACGTCTTCCATGTAGTGCTCTACCCCTTTCTGTAATACATGTAAAGAAATGCCTTTGCAACATATCTTATTGTAATTCATTAAAGCAAAGCTTTTATTGTCCTTTTCACCCCAGAACGTGACTGTTGCTCAAAGTCATCATTCTTGGCATTTCTAAATTTCTGATCCTCTTGATTGATCCATCTCTGGTATTTACCCACCCAGCCTTTGGCTGGGACCTCATGTTTCCTTGTCTATAGAATGAGGGGATTGAACAAGGATGATCCTTGTTCCTTGAGGTCCCGTATGGCTCTAAATCTTATCATCACTTTTCTTAGCTCACAGCAGAGTAGAAGCTACAAATTGAAGGACAGTTGAAACAGCTGAGATGTAAGTGCACTCATTAGTGAGAAATAAATAACAGCTAGAGAAGGGAAAATTAAAAACCAGGTCAAACTAGCAAAGCACGGCAGTTGGCCACTCAGTTGTAGGCCCTACATGCCCTCTTTAGCCCATTGTTATTAATTACAACCTAGTACAACTGTTCAGTATTCTTGTAGGAGAATAAAAACTGCAGACAAGTTAACTTTAGGATTCTAAGGAAGCTAATTTCTAATAGTAAAAGTTAATTCTGCCCAAAGTCTGTTGGCATTGTTATGACTACTCTTACAGACCCTAGAGTTAATAGGTGATCTAATTGGCATGATTAAAACAAAGCAAAAACACTTGATGACCAGCCTATTGCTAATAAGCCTCTCCTTGCTTAACTAGGCTGGGCTTTGGGCAGGGCCACGTACAATCTGTTACTATGTACTTTAAGTACTTTCTAGTTCATTGAATTCTGCCAGCATTGGCATTCTTTGGGCATGGCTTTAGAGAGCCCAGAGTCACCTCTACATTACAAAGAAGCTTCACAATTAGGCCTTTAGTGAAGGGGCTTAAGGAAAACAAATTATAATTTAGCTCAGATCCAGCCTAATTCTGTTCCTCACATATGAAACCTATCTTCTATCTCTGCCTTTGCACTGGCTATCTCTCATGTTTGGAATGTGCTCTTTCACTTGCACGTCATAGAATTCCTTTCTTCTTTCAAGATGCAGCTTGAGCATCACTTTCTACATGTATTTTCTGATTCCCCCCAAATGCTAGTGCCCTCCCTTCCAACCTATGTTGCAGTAAACCACTTTGTATTTATTTTTATTCCCTTTGTGAATGTACATACATATATATGCATATAAACATGCATATGTACATATACAATTGTTTTCTCCATTATATAAACTACTTATGAGTAGTTTTGTATTTGTATCCCAGCATCTAGTAAGGTGCTTGGCATGTAGTAAATGCTTAATAAAAGCTTATTCAGAGATAGGAGAGAAATGAATCATGACAAATCTAGCTTTAAGAAAAGCCATATCTAAAAAGATACCCATGTCTTATCCTGAAAAATTCAGGGATACTCAAGAATATTTTTGGCCAAGCTAGAAAGATCTAGTGGTTTGAATCAGTGTAGAGAACATTATACCCTCTCCCATCATTCCAACACACAACTTCTGGAATTTTCTCTTCCAGAAAGCTGCCTTTAACTAATTGGCAGAGTGGTGGTGACTTGCCCTAGCTCCCTAGTTACTACCACCCCTCTATTAAATGTGCTTATATTTGCAATCTTAAAAAAAAAAAAGTTGTACATCAGCCCTTAAGGTTTCTGTTTATATCAATGTTGTCTGCCTTCAATGTATTACGTTCCTTGAGGACGAGCACGGTGGTCTGTAGCCAGTTACATGGTGATTTGCAATTGTGTGCTTAAATACTGTACTACCTACATTTAAGATAAGAATATGGTTAAATTTTATTGACATTTAGGGTTTTCTTGGCAAAGATACTGGAGTGGTTTGCCATTTCCTTCTCTGGCTCATTTTTACAGGAAACTGAGGCAAACAGGGTTAAGTGACTTGCCTAAAGTCACAGCTAATAAGTATCTGAGGCCAAATTTGAACTCAGGAAACTAAGTCTTCCTGATTCTAGGCCCAGCTTTTTATCCATCGTGCCACCTAGCTGCCTACTTTGTTGACACTGGTTATGTATTAAGCTTAGATTTATTTTGCTGTTTTTGATAGGCAGAAATCTGTAATCACTGCATTTAAAAATGGGTTATAATGAACTTTGGAAGATCATTTATTGAAATTAAAACCAGCAGGTGAGAATCTCTTTGCTTTTAAAGACTTCTAAGGATAGACAATACCAATCCTTAACCCACTTCAGTGGCTCTTGACTATCTTGTTCTCTGGTCGTTACTTTTAATTTTTTTTTTTCTTATGCAGCTGCTGATCCTCACTCCCTACGTGATAATGCTACAAATACTTGAAGGTCATTATACTAGCTCTTTTGTTCTCTTCTCTAGACTAGATAACCCTCCTTCATTTAACCTTCAGAAATACTGAATAATAGTCATTTATATTGGTAGGATTCTGAGCCTATATCCTTAAGTTTTCATCTCAAGTTTATGAGAACTGCCTTTTTGTTTGTTCCTTTTGGTCCTGTTTATTTCCATGCTTTCAAAAGATCCCTAATTTCATCATTATGGCTACTCTGCCCCCACTTATGCAGACCTCAATGTTGATAACGGCAATAGAGAGTTTTATGAGTAGTCTTGGCAATCCACCACCCTACCCCCTGCCAAATGTCATCAATCTTTGGCCAAGAACCTTTATGAATTTAGCTTAGTCTGGCTTTTGTGAGGCAGACACATATCCAATCAATTCAAGATGGATCCTTTCCATCTTGATAGGATTTCCCAGAGCTTGTGCTGCATTGGCATTACCTTTGGGAACCCAAGGTCAGGTCCACAACATGAGGAGATATTGTAGGAGGATTTAGGTAAAGACTGTTATTTGGGGATGTTAGTAGCACATTAAATTATTCTAAACAGAGACAGGCAGCACAGTGGGTGGAGCACTGGACTTCGGTGTTAGGAAAACCCAAATGACAAATCCTGCCTCAGACATTTGCTAGCTGTGTATGCTCCTGGGCCAGTCACTTCTCAACCTCAGTTTTCTCTCTCTTCTGTAAAATGGGGATAAAAATAGCACATAACTCAGAGGTTGTGAGTGTCAAATGAGATGATGTGTGAAGAAAATTTTATAAAACTTAGTGCAATATATAAATACTAGCTTGATGGTATTGTTATGACATGCTTAGCTTGTGGACCAGGTGAACCTCTAGACCGTTTAAGGTCATTGTGCTCCTTCAGTGTTCTGTGTGGCTTTTTCTCCACTGAGAAATACATTCTTTAGGGGCATTTCAAACTTCTAAGGATCACTTTGGAGTCATGATCCTCTCCTGCCAGGGGCTAGTCATCATTTCCAACTTTGAAATATTTGGGAATTTAATGAGCAAACCTTTTATTCCATCATCTAGGTCACTAATTCAGAAAGTCAGCCTAGGTTTGTTTTTTGTGGAATACTGTTATATTCCATATAATGGTGCTAAATGAATGATCATAGTTTGAATATTTGAGCTTCTAATTGTCAGGATGCCCAGTGGTTGAGCTGGTATCTTTTAAATTTTCAAAGAGTTCGTAACACAGAGTTTAATCAAAAGGTCAGGGTAGATTATCACATTACCAGGTCTTATCACACTGTCAAAGGAGGACACTCTAGTCATCACAAGTGTTTGGCTTTGTTTTTTCTGCAGGTGTTTGCAAAGGAGTTATGTCTTCTGGAACTTTCCCAACCTTACTTTGCTCTTCAAAATGATTTTCTCTCTCTCTGTACATACACATGCATACATACATATATACATATATATATATATATATATATATATATATATATATATATATAAAACACACACATATATATACACACACACACACATACACACATATGTATTATACACACACATCTATATGTATACATATATACATATACATACAGTCACATCACAACACGCTAAGGAGCTGTGCTGGATTTCAGTGGTGTGGATACTTTCTCCTCTCCACTAACAAGATTGTAGTCTCTCAACACCTTACAGTGGATGGACTTTGGGACTTGCTGTAGCCATAAAAGAGCTGATCCCATTTTAAGCTACTTAGTATGTGAAAGAAAAAAAAAAGATTATGAGAATTCCCAGTACAAGTCAGGCAAATTTTCCTCAAGGAAACTAGTTTAGAACCAAGATAGACAAGCAAAAATTCACTGTTAAGTGTTTATTTTTTGGACATAGTGCCACTGGAGGTAAGCATTCAGAAAACTCACTCTCATCTCCCAAACGTATAGAACTGCCTTCCAGTACGCTACCTTACTGTACAAAGAAAACTGGTAAAAAAAAAATCTTCAATTTCTTAAAGAGAGATAAAAAGGGTGTCGCCATTTGTGGTAGCAGTTATTCAATTTGTAACTCAATTTGACAGTGTTACATTGCTTTTCCATAAAAGAAGAATTGGGACCACTAGGGCAGTCTCTGATCAATCCTGAAATATCTATCTACCACGGCAAAGACAGTGAGGCAAATAGCATCATTCCCACTTATCTCCATGAAGATAAAGGGGAGCTGACAGGAGCCCAGCTCTTCAAGTTTCAGGAGCTGAGGCCAATAGCTTAATGGCTTCATTCCCTCTCATCAGATTTATTGGTAATTGGCATTAAATAGAAAATTTCTTAAATTTTCTCTGAATGATCGGGCAAAGAGTCACTTAACAATTAATTGACCAGAAAATGAGCTTTTTACTTCTTGACTTTTGTCCAGTTTTCACCTTTAGTAGTATAAACCTTCAAATGTGGAACTTTCATCAAAGCCGCTAGCAACTGTAACAACCATACTCAACACTCTTTCTAGATGCTAAATTATCTGGAAACAGTCCTGTGTAGCCGATGTTTGCACAGAGAAAATGGAGGTGTTTTCTACTGAAGGTAAGTGTCCAATTTCCTCTTGATATTGTCAAAGGAATCTGCTCCCATGTAATCAGCCTGGCCTTGCTCCCACCGCTCCTTGCGTTCATTTGAGGATACAAATGGTTGAGGTGGAGGGCTGAGGTCCCCAATGGACATATGTGAGATTGCATTTGTGACTTCCTCCTAGAAGAAGAAACAGAATCAAGGCCTCTGTGACAGCTGGAAATTACTATTAAAAAAAAAGTCTCTAAAAAATGCAGTAAATGGAAGGGAAGAGAAGCTGGGATGAACTGTCATGCAAAGAAACAAAACAAAACAGAACCAAAAAAAACCCAGAAAGAAAATGTAAAAATAAATCAGGAAACAACATTTAAAAGGTCATATGATTTTCCTAGCAAAATGAACACTGTTCTTGGTGAAAACATCAGAAAGGCACAGGTATTAGGGTTAGGTTTAAGGTCTGCATACCTTTCTACAGAAGCCACAAGAGAAAGCCAGAGTATAGGCCAAACCCGAAAGCTGCAAATAGTTCATCAGAGAGGGTAAGATGGATAAGGGAAAGCATGTCTCATTCTAAGCTCTTTATCCGCATGGGCTTGGAAAGATGGAGAGCTCACAGGACCCCAAGACACAACAGAGCTGACCCACAAAGGAAAGCTATATGAGTTTGGGAGCCAAACTTTACTAAACTCATGGAAGAAAGAGAAGCCCCTCAATTTGTATCAGTTCAGTCTGCTTAATCTCAAAGTGCCCTAGTTCCCCATCTTTAGCTCACTGTGGGGTCCAGAGTTCCTAGAAGGTTCTGTGTAAATTACAGGGCAAACCTATTTCTTATTTTATGAAACCCAGTCTCTCCAGCAGGTATCAGCCAGGCTCTTGCTTCCAGTTTACCAGATTAAAAATGTACAGCTAACAGGAACTTCAGAGATCATCTGGTCCAATCCTCCCATTAGAGAGGTGGGATCTAGAGAAGTCACAAGGTGACAGAGCTGGCGTTTGGACCCAAGTTCCCCAACTCTTCATCATGGCCTTTTTTTTTCTTTTAAACTATATCGTACTTGTTTGGAGATACTGCATGTCCCTCTTTTAATTTATTTTAAAATACTTTCATTGTGAAGTGAAAACGTACTAGCAACCTTAAGATGGAAAAAAGGAAGGCTGGCTGAGTGACATGCAGTTTCTGTTCTTTCCTTTAGCATGAGAGAACCATTTCACTACAGTAATCATCACCAACCCCCCAAATTTCATTTTGGCTTATACAACTCAGCTGTCTTTGATCCTTGGGGACATATGTCCTAGCACCATTTTATTACAGCTGAGACGCAGAGGCTCATGGATATAGAGTCAGAGGACCAGCTGCCACCCCTGAATTCACCCTCTCTCACACATGCTCTCTTATCCCTTTCTCTTATTAATTATTTCTTAATGGAGGGTGAGTTAGTGAGATCCTAGGCCTCTTGTAATCCCTGGTTGAAGCTCTCCCTTCCGTGACTCTTATCTTTGTTCTGCCTTCAAAGCCCTTCCTAACAACTTTTCCTGGTTGTAAGGATGGCTAGACCTTCTGCCTGCAAGGCCACAGAGCTGTCATTGTTTCTTCTTTAAGGCTGACACTTATTAACAACAACAATAATAAAGTTGGACCCAGGCTGAATTCTTTGGCAGTAAGAGTCCGTTTCTAGAAGTGCATAATCACTGAATGAATGTCAAGGCTGGAAGGAAATCTAGAGGTTATCTATCCTAATCTTTCCACTTAACAGATTAAAAAACCGAGGCCTGGAGAGGGTAGCTGAAAACTCTTTTCTTCAAACCCTCACAAAGGCAGCCAAAAGTTTTGCCTATAACTTTTCTAACTGTAGGTGGGGAACAGGAGAAATGGCCAGAAGGAAGGCAAGCATCAGAAGATACGGATGCTGGATGGCATGATCATCTGGGGCTGATCAGCTGACCATATTTCCCTCCATCACCCCTGCTCTTCCTTACACTTCCTCACTCATCTCACACTTCACTCCATCTTCATCCTGAATTTCCTAAGGGAGGAATCTTAAAGGGAACTTAACATCGCCTATGTCAGAGGAGGAGCTGAGTATAGGGTCGTACTCTTACTTCTCTCTAAGCAGATTCCTTTTGATAGCTCTTGCCTCATGGTTGGACAACATTGTGGCCACCAAAATACCGAGGGGACTTTTGCCATGTTATTTTCATGCGGCAACTTCACTGCAAACATCTCAGCCTCTTATGCAGATGGAAAATTATTAACCAAAGAATGCTTGGATATTTGTGATTTCTAAAACATGCAAAGGGTTAGAGCACTTATTTGACATACAGCCTGTGTCATTTATCACTTGACATCAGCAACATCACTTGAGACCTCTTAATAAAGCATTGGTCATTATAAAATTATTGGTTTTTATTATTGTGTATTTCTTCCACCCTGGTTTGTGTTTTCTGCTCTAGCTGTACCTGCTTTTCCAACCCACTTCTACTCAAGGATTCAATAAGCCCCCACCGAGGATGGCTTCAATTTTCCTTCCATCAAAACATGTCCCGTCCCTCTCCTCTTTCTGCTAGAGATGCTCCACCTCTATTAAGGCTTTCCAGATGAACCCTAGCTGGCCCCAGTTGCTTCAGAATCTTCCTGGCAATGCCCTTATGCTGTGCCCAGCTGGATTTGATGAGATGTACTCACTTCTCTTGAATAAAACATTCTATATGTTCTGCCATACAGAGCAGGGTCTATATTAGTACATTTCCCAGTCTTTTTGAGCTTACATATACTTGTTCTATCTTCCTTGTTATGCTGGTACATCTTTGAATGCAGAGGCCAGGCATACTTTCTTAATTTCCTCTGCATTACCCAGCAGTTCCCTGAGTACAGATGTAATACTCCATAGTCTCAATAAGCAAATGGGCCAACTATGACTCTCCTTACTGTAAATGTTATTCATTTTTGGCTTCAATTCTTAGATACTAAGTTGATGGCTTTAATTAGATTAGCTGCTTTTCCTTTTCACCCCCTCTCCCCTCCCACCTTCAAACCAGGTCAGAAGCTGCATCATGTCACTCAAGAAAGAGAAAACAAACCCTACCGCGTTAAAGGCTGTGAAGGTGTCTTTAACAACTCCAAACTGCTGGAGTAAAGGCAGAATGTTGGTGGTGAAGATGTCCCACCACATAGTGAGGAACTGGGGGTCAATCACAGTGGGGTCATGAGTGTCGCTCCTGACGCTTTTTGTTTTGGGGTCGTAGGTATAGTTCCATGGTTTGATGCGTCCCAGGAAATGCACGACTTTTGCATTTGCCCCAAACCTGACAAGTGAACAGACACACTAGAAGTCATCATTCCCAGGGCTGACTGGAAAACTGCTGTATTTACTGTCTTTTCGGCTGCAATAGAAGTTCTGCTGTGGTGGCCAACAAAGACAGTGACTTTGGGACAGGATGCAATGAAAATATCTTTTTTCTACCCCTGGGAAAATAGGTTTGTCATCTACTGGTCCTATTTTTTCGGAAGTGAGATCACCATTGGGTTGGGGTAATCAGATCCCAGAGCAAGTGGAATTCTGAAGGGGACCTTTGGAAGAAAAGCAAAGGTATATAGGTAGGCTTGTACCTGATAACATGTGGGAGACAGTAAAGTCACAACAGTCTGACTGTTCAATTGTCTACCCTTTCCCCCTGCCCCTGCTATCATCAACTCTTACCACTGCCTAGCAGGGGCTGCCTCTCCCTGATGGAAAACACCTGCCTGAGACAGAAAGAAGCAAAAAACCAGGGAAAGAAACCAATGGCTTCTGGTCTAGAAGTGGTGGCCAAAATCCTGAACCTAGCTCATCATACAACTCATTTGAAACAGGTATTAGCTCTGAGCGTGAAGTCAGGAAGACCTGACTTCAATTCCAGCCTCAGACACTTCCTTAGCTATGTTACTCAGGGAAAGTTTATTCACCTTCATCTGCCTCACTTTCCTCAACTGTAAAATGCGGATAATAATAGCACCTACCTCCTGGGGTTGTTAACAAGGATTAAAAAATGAGATAACAAAAACTTTTTTTTTATGAGATAACATTTGTAAAGTTGTTTGCAAACCTTAAGGCACTATATAAATGATAGCTAGCTATGGTGGTGGTGGTAGTAGTAATAGCATTAATAGTGCTAGTGGTGGTAGTAGTAGTAATAGCAGTAGTAGTAGTAGTGGTGGTATGACCCAATGGAGGAGTACTTATGTATTTTGGTGGTGGTAGTAGTAGTAGTAGTAGTAATAGTAGCAGTAACTCAAACTCAACAATAGATATGTAATAAAGGGGCTGGATGAGAAATGTTGCATCACCCTGCTCTGTAAGATATTTCTGCAGAAAAACAGTATTTCTGTAATCCAGACATGAAATTATTTTGCATTTCTCAACTCAAACCCATGTGGTTTATTTGAAAGCGTTTTGCATCTTGCTTTTTGGTGAGATCTTCCTGGTTGATGTAGGAGGATTTTTAGAAGAGGCACTGACCAACTCCTATTTCTTCAGAGTGGAAAATGAATCCTATTTGGCCCAATGAACCTATTAGCACCTACTGTCCCACCATGACTGCCCATGTGGTCTTATTCATTTCAATTTGAACTCATGTAACTGGGAGGGTGCAAGGGAGAGGGAAGGCCTTAATTCTACTTCTGTCTAAGGTGGGCGTGTGTAAAACCCACAGGGAAGAACATTTTGGCTTGTTATTTTAAAGACCTGTTTACTTTCTCATAGTTTACGAATAGTAAAACCCCTTAAAGCATCTAAAAAGAAGCTAAGCAGGGCAAGGGAAAAAAAAAATCAAAACCCTGAGTCTCTTCTTGGCAAAAATGCTCCTCAAGGAGAGGCAAGTGCCCAGAGGGAAAGGGGAGGGTGTTCTTGCTAACTGTAATAATAATAAACAATCCTGACAAGCACTGTGAGGCAGATAACCTCACAACAACCCTGTTGTTTCTAACCCCGACCCTGACAAAGCCTGCATGCTTCCCCTTTCCTCTCCGTCTCTTAGAATCCCTCGCTTCCTTCAAAGGTAAGTTTAAGTGCCTCTCCCTGTCAGAAACTATCTGGATCCCACCATGTTTCTAGTGTCCTCTGGGTTCTTCCACCCCTAAAATATACACCCTCTTCACATGTGTTTTGTATGTATTTACCTATGTTTATATTATTTGTCCCCAAGAGAATGGAGGCTCCTTGAGGACAGGGACTGTTTAGTTTTTGTCCTTGTATACCCCGTGTCTAGCATAGAATAGATGCTTTCTAAACGCTTGTTGAACATTTATAAATCCCCGCTTTATAAATGAGAAAACAGAGGTTCATGGAATGAAGTCATTATACTTAAGAGGGTTGATGAGGCAAATTCTGGTGCTTGTAGGAGAAAGAAAAACGTGTGTACAGTGATGGTGGTGGTGACAGTGGTGGTGATGGTGATGGTGGTAGGCCAGGGCCTTGGCCAAGAGCTACATACAGTTCACATCGTACAGATCTCCTATTCATCTGCTGTAATCTTAAAATGATCAGGGAATAAGACACATAAGAGCTAAAATTCCAACAAAATGTATATTCCTTGCTTAAAAACCAAACACACTCAGAGCTATAAATCTAATAAATAAACTCAACAAGATTTTTTTTTCATTTACAACGTACCCACTAACCTACAAAACATGATAATCTATCATTTATGAGTACCGTGTGCCAGGCAAGCATGGAAGGAAGCATTTGTTAAGCCCCTACTATGTACCAGGGACGTGCTTTACAAATATCTCATTTGATCGTTGAGACTACCCTGGGAGGTAGGCGCCAGTATTAGCCTCATTTTACAGTTGAGGAAACAGAGGAAGAGGTTAAATAACTTGCCCAGGGTTACACAGCTAGTTAAATGTCTGAAGCCAAATTTGAACTCGGTTTTTCCCGACTCTGGGTGCAGAGCACTGTCCACTGAGATACTCAGCTGCCTTTGCAATATATTTTTCTCTGCCCTCGAGAAACTTACATTCTAACTCCACAATCAGACACTGGAAGAATCTGTATTGCTCGGGTAAAAGCAAAAACCTTTATTTCATAGTTAGCTAAGGCCAGAAGAATGGGAGAAACATTGACGTCAAGAGATAAGAAAATTTAAGTGACCTCAGTTTAGAAACAAGGTTAGCAAGGAAGGTTACTGACTCATCAAAGGATTTATGAGACTCAATATCTGGGGGGGGGGGAGCAGTTGGGCAGACATCACAATAGCGTTTCAATTACCGGTGGCCATCCCTTCTGACTCAGTGTTAAGGATTTGTCTCAGCTTGCATGTATTTCTTAAAATAAATGTTCTAATTTTAAACCAAATGGAATCTCAAGAGAAACATCCAGATCACAAGACAGAGCTTGAGTGGGAGCCAGTTACAATCCTGCTTAGCTTAGCTGTCCCGAGTAATCCTTGAGCAACCTGTAGTCACTCAAAGATCAGATAGAATTTAATGGATGACTCTCCTAGTTAACAAACTGAGAAGATGGGAGTTGGATTTTAAACCCAGGACTTGTCGGAACTGAAAATTAATAAGGTAAACTGGAGACAAGAGAAAGGATTTCCATGGGAATCCAGCTAATGATGGTCCTGGGGACAACTCATTCCCTCTGAGCTTTGCCTTCCATGTCCACCAGTATACAGAGCAGAGGGAATATACTTGCACCTAGGGTCAGGCTGACCTAATATCTGTCCCTGATAGCCAAAGCTAAGGAGAAGACATCAGGACTTCAGACATCCTGGGTATCAGAGGAGCTATCTAAGTGATGGACATTCAATCATTGCTTGGTTCTTCCTCAAACACACAGTCCTTGATGGTTGTTTAAGTGGCCATGCAAAGGAAACCCTACTGAGGCTGTTAGATTCTCCATGGCCTCAGAGCTGTAGGGGCAAGGGCTCCAGAGGGAGCTAACAAGGGGAAAGCCAGTGTCTTTGATGACAAAGATTTAGGTGCTTTCCCTACATCACAAATTACTTGGTCTTTATTCTAAATATCTTGTTACCTACTTTTCTCTCCCAGGAGAACATAAGCTCTCTGAGGCAGGAATTGTTTTGCTGTTGTCTTTGCATCCCCAACCTTTAGCAAGGTACCTGGTCCATCATGGGTGCTCCATAAATGTGTGTTGAATTGAATGACAGTGTCATAAAGGAGAATAAAGAACAAGGACTAAGCAGGAAGCAGGAAGCAGGCATTTATTATGGTGCCAGGCACCATGCTTTCTAAATATCATCTCATTTGATCATTATAGTCACCCTGGGAGGCAGATGCTATTATTATCCTCATTTTGCAGTGAAGGAAACTGAGGCAGACAGATGTTAAATGATTTGCCCAGGGTCACACAACTAGCAAAGTGTCTCAGTTCTTCTGATTCCAGCCCAACACTAGCAATTCCACTGCCTAGCTGCCAAGAAACAAAGCTAGGTGGCAAGAAGAGTGATATATTAGAATATGAGGACACCATGGGCATGATACACACTGACATGGGTTGAAGTCCCATCTCTGACACTTATTAGCAAAGTGACCATGAACAAGTCATTTAATTGTGTTCAGTCTCTGTTTCCTCATCTGTAAAATAAGGGGGTTTAGATTTAGTACCATAGGATCCACAATCCTTTAATTCTATTATACTACCACTTGAATGCAATATATTTTTTTAAATAGGTCAAATAAGCATTTTAACATATGTGCCAAATTCTATACAAGAAAGGATAACAGATGTGAAAAAACTCTGCAAAGTTAGAAGCACTAATGATATAAACACATGGGCAGAATATTTTCATTGGACCAAGGCTCTGATCAGCCAACATGGTCAAAAGCAAACAATGATTTGGAATTTCCAAAGTATAAACTTTTGGAGAGTGGGGCTCATGTCTTTTTTTTTTTTTTTTATCAATGTTGTCTTAGTGAGGCCACATAAACCATGAAACATTTGGAAGAATTAAAATTAAACTAAAGGGTAACAGAAAGATGCCTGGTATATCTAAGTAGGTTATGGGCAGGCTGCCAGCCATGACTTGCATTAAAGAAATAATGTAGAGGTCACCACTGGGGATGTGTGTGACCAGACAAAGTAGGCTGGAGGCAGAATGAGGATGGAAGGAAGAAGAGATAGTCAATTTGTGGCCCACAAAAGATCTAAAGAAAACAACAAAGGCATTGGGCAGATCTTCTCCAAAGAAGGTATAAAGAAGAAATGCAAGATGAAAATCCCACAGGATGAAAAGACACAGAGAGATAATGATGGAAGGAGTGCTTTGAGTGATGCCCATCTCAATCCCATGTAGGAAACCAGGATTTCAGATCTGGATGAGTAAATTATGTTCCCTCAATGGTAGCTCCCTCTCTGGAAAACTTTTAAGAGATTGTACTAAATTGTGCTAAGTCTCGTACCTGGCAGATTTTAGCAGAATTATGTAGGAGTCTTTACAAGTGATTTGGAACCAGAGAAGCAGAGGCTCCCTTCAAAGCTGTCCTGAAAGTGAACCCTATTCCAAAAAGTCCAAGAGAAGAGATCCAGGGACCAGACAACTATATGGGACATCTGGGACTCAAGATAAGGTGAAATGATTAAATAGATATTGGGAGTTCTTGGGTTACAAGGATACAAGGAGACTTTATATTATTTAATAGTGATGGTCATGGTATTGGGTGAACTCTTCTGTTATAAATCATCAATATTCATTACTTGTTTACTAAATTTGATTTTTAAAAAAATTCTAGTTTTATTTTAATACTATCATACATAGTAGTATGTAATAATTTTAATTAATGGTGATTTTAATGTTATAGCAAACCAGTGATAATTTGATTTTTTTTATGAGTAGTAGAATTTGGTATCATGTTTTAATTCCAGATAAAAAGGTGTTTCAAATGCTAGAGTGAGTCGGAGTGAGTCACTTGCAAATGTGAACCTAAAGTCCTTTTTTTGCACTGTGTGAGGTTTGTATGTGGGAACTGCATTATTATAATATAGGTTGTTTTAAACAGAGATGGTCAGGATGTCCCAAAATATTATTTGGCATTAAACTCTATGCAATAGTAGACTACAACAGGAGTTTTTAACCTTATTTTGTTATAGACCCTAATGGCAGTCTGGCAAGGCCTAATACCAACTGCGGTTTGTGCCAACATTCAATTTGTAACCCAGAGAATCCCCTTACCTTCATGTCCTCCCTGTCTAATTCTCCCAAAGGAAGTGAAACAAATTTATTCTGACTCTTCCACATTCCACATGGTAAAGTCAATGCCAGGTTATTATTTCAGTTAGAAGTTAGTGAAAATAAAAATGTCATTTTTTTCCCTCATCCAAATTCACTGACTCCCTGAAATCTGTTCAAGAAGTTTGGTGCAGTTTGTGAACCCCTGGGTTAAGAACTTTGGATCTAGAGAAATGGATGCATGATTTGCATTTTATCTTGAACTCAGAAGGGTGACAAAGTACTAGCATGTTGGTGTTCATGCACCCTAGCCAAGGTTTGAAAATAAGGACTCCCTCATTCCCCCTTGTGTTACTACTCAATAGAAACTTTAAGGTCTTCCTGGAACGTATGCAACCTAAATGACCAAAAAGTAAATATCAAGGAGCCATGGAAAATGGAATTTCCTGGTGACAAAAGTATATTTAAGGGTGATTTCCAGCATGCTGTCATGCATATTTGCACCTTAAGCTCTGTCTAGCTTGCCTATGCCTGATCCCCCTGGCTCTCTGTACAACAGAGTTCAGGCTGTACTTATAAGGCCATTTTCTCTCATAACCTGGCATTGACTTTACCATGTGGAATGTGGAAGAGTCAGAATAACTTTGTTTCACTTCCTTTGGGAGAATTAGACAGGGAGGACATGAAGGTAAGGGGATTCTCTGGGTTACAAATAAATGATACTTTGATGGAATGAAGGGAGTAACTCAGCAGACTGCCAGTTTTTTTTTTCCCCCTGAACCACAGAAAAGCCTGTTACAAGAGTCAAGAAGCCCTGGGGATTTTTACAGTGTATCTATGGCATTTTCCTTGTTTTCACGGAGGTCAGAAAAAGTCTACTGATATATTCCTATCTACCAGTGAATTATACCTATTCATTGAAAGAACATTTCTTGCTATTCTATGTGAGTGATCAGAAGTGATGTGGCACAATGGAATGAGCACAGGCTGAAGAGTCAGAAGACCTGAGTTCAAATGCTAGCTTTGCCACTTACTATTTGTGTGACGTTGGGCAAATCACTTCACTTACTTTCTCTGGGACTATATTCCTGGTCATAGATCTGAAGCTGGAAGGGAACCTCAGAACTCATCCACTCCAATCTCCTTGTCTTCCAGTAAATGGAACTGATCTGCCCATGATATCTCACAGGTAGTAAGCATCCGAGATGGGATTTGAACAGTGTGCGGGCTCTTCTGAGCAGTGAGACTAAGTGGTCTCTGAGAATCCTTCCGGCTCCAGATGTATGATCCGCTGATATGTATAAGATCAAGTGACTGACTGTATGGCAGTATGAAAAGAACTTCAGAGATAAACACAGATAAAAGGGATAAGGGACCCAGTTGCCTGGATTCACGGAAGTACTATAAGGACAGGACAATGTAGAAATAAAGTCAGCCCATGATTAAAAGGACTAAGTCCAGGCAAAGATGGTCTGAACTTTAAAAGCCAGGGGCTGGAGGGATTTGGGATACACATTTCTCCTAGCAAATCATGCCCCTTACATATATACATTGGCTGTTCCTGTTTAGCTGACCAAATTACCTATGTGCAGAAAGGACAATCATGATTTTGAGCTAGAAAGAACCTCAATAGCTGTGCGACCCTGGGCAAGTCACTTAACCCCAACTGCCTCACCAAAAAAGTAAAAAATAAAAATAGAAAAAACTCAAAAGTCATGTAGTCCACTCTCTCATTCTCTGGGTGAGGAAAATGAGCCCCAGAGAAGAAGCTGCTTGTATAGAGTTAAAATGCTAATGAAGACTGGAACAAAGTTAGCTTTGAGGCCCAGATATCTTTTTACCCATAAGACCACAGGGAAGGAGTGATCCAAAGTCCATAATCTTTATCTGAGGCATGCTGACAAAGCCTTCAAGATGAAACCTTATAACTAGAGATGTAAGGCTGTTTAAGATAAGGCAGAGGGCAAAAGCCATAACAAATAAGGGTGAGGGATGAAACATTTCACACATTTTGTGCTTTAAGAAAGTCAGCGTGCTGACCACTGTGATGTAACACTTATGTCTGTAGCCTAGGAGAAGGTAGGGGAGAGAAAGTCATGCCTCTGCTCAACAGAAGCAGATGTGCTGCCAAAACAAGCCCTTCTCAGTGAAAGCATCGACCCGAGATACCAGATTTGATTAAAAGCCAAAAAGAAGAAAGCTATCATATGCCACTGTTTATGGTATTTGAGGAGCAAGTCTGTTAGAAGCATATATATTTTAGGGTGTTATATGAGTGTGGACAAAGATTATGGCGGGCCTACATTCAAGACAAAAACATCACAGTTCACCCCATTGGTCCAAAACAAGTGGAACAAAGTCTGAGGTACCAGTGATGGGGTCTATGCTCCTAGGGATATAATAATAATAATAAAAGTCATCATCATTTAGAATTTACATAGTGCTTTAAGGCTTACAGAGTGCATTACATATGTTATCTCATTTGAGCTTCACACTAACTCTGTGAGGTAGGTGCTATTATAATCCCCATTTTACAGATGTAGAAACTGAGGTTAGGAGAGGAATCAACTCTGGAACCAAAGCTAAGAATACTGAAGGTTTGGTCACCTCTTTATCTGAAGGAACCTCCTTTGACATATGGTATAAGTGCCTTCTAGTTTTCCTAGAAGCTCTTATAGGAAAGTGGGTCCTTCCCTCATTAGTTTGTATTTTGGGGCTTAAAGATCAATGGACTATTATATTTGCTTATTTAACTAGTCTGTTCCACTGATCTACTTATCTGGTTTTTGTAACTAGTTATAAATAGTTGCAAGGATTACTATTATCTGACATTTCTGGAGATCTGATAATACTGAGCTCCACTTCATTCTTGCTTTTTCTCACTTTCTCAGTGAAGAATCTTTGTGAGAAAGCTCACCTAGGATATTCCCAAAGGAGGGGACCAAGTAGTGGCACCAAAGGTGCAGCTTAACACGAGACCAAATTTGCTCTGGTCTCTGAAACCTCTCTGAGGAGATCCACCCTCACCCCCTTACATTCACTAAGCTTGTACAAACCTAATCCTGACCCTCTCCTGGAGGCCCCACCATCCCCCCCCACGTTGAACAAAAGCTGGAACTTCATTTCTACTTACGCTTTAAATGCTGGGAGGTAGGAGTATATAGAAAGGCTGCTTAGGTTATAAATAAATGGCAGGTGCTTTCTGATATCTGTCGTTGCCCAACTGTTAAAGAAGGTGTTCAGCAAACCCTGGTCCCCACCTGAAAGGGAAAGTAGGAAAGAATGGACATAAATAGATTGAGCTATATTAAGAAAAGTTCTGATCACTCACAGATAGCGCCTAATTTCATTGGGAATTAATCAACTCTTGAGTGGCACTTATTCAAGGCATTTTATGGAATGTCTTCTTCTCTGAATCAGTCCAGGGAGGAAAATAAACAAGCATAGAGAAAGGAAGGTATTAGGATGGCTTTTCCTCTTTGGGGTGCTGCCTACAGTGGATTTATTGACTCACCAACAAACAACCTAGCCCACTAGAATTCCAAATGCTGTAGGCAATCCATTCACTCAGCTTACTGAAATTTTTACCCAGCCAGAAAGAGTTCGTACTAAATCACAAAACAAGTATAAATGAGCCAAGGCTGATCACCAGATACACAGCCTGGGCACATAAATCCACTATGTTTTTTGGCTCTTTCCTCAAGGTAAGTCTGGTTCTTGCTAAGAAAGAGCAGGGAATGTGAACTCTGTCCCTGGAGGGTTTGTTGTTTCATCGAATTATATGGTAAATGGAGAGGAACTCAAAGGTGACCAATTTAATGCCTCCATTTTACAGATGAGGAAACTGAGGTCCTGAGAAGAAAAACAAGACTAACTCAAGGTTATACTGGTAGTAAGTGGAAGAAGAGAGGGGATTTGGAGCCAAGTTTTTTAAATCTCCTAAAGTTTGCAAATTCAAATATAAAAACAAAACAGGAAAAACAACCCTCACTCTCATCTAGACAGACTTTTTCTTGATTGAAAATTACAAAGGAAAGCATGTGGTGCTACGGTATATTTCTCCTCCTTCTAAAGACCAGCCAGCAGCTTGGGCCATGGGGACAGGGAGGCAGCAGTCAGAGCAAGCAGGCTGTATGTGGTCAGTTCTTTCCCTGAAACCTTCCTTTCTAAATAACATACCAGGTTCAATCTGCTCCATCACCACTGCACAGTTGTCCCCATGCTTAATTCTATTAGAAATTTGATTGGGAATCTGGCTTTCAATTTTTTTTTTTTGGCTAGGCCATGGGATTAAGTGACTTGCCCAGAGTCACACAGCTAGCGTCAAGTGTCTGAGGCCAGATTTGAACTCGGATCCTCCTGACTTCAGGGCTGGTGCTCTATCCACTGTGCCACCTAGCTGCTTCTGGTTTTCAATTTGGAATAAAGATCTGGAGATCAGGATTTGGAGTCTACCTTCCCGGGATAACTGTCCCCATCCTCCCAAAGACCTCTAGTCTACTATTAGGATCACAGGATACCCTGAAAACACCAGAGGCATCTGGACAATGTGTTTTTGGATCTAGTGCATGCAGAAAACAGAATATATTATCCCTGTTAAACAGCTAATCCATCTACTGAGTGAGGAGAAAAACCCATTATAACAATTTAGACAAATGGATGAGAATTTCTCATTTGGAGTGTTCAAACCAAAAAGCAAGATAAGCTCTTGAAGGAAGCAAAGAGATAAACCCAAGGCAAGTAGGAGGGGCAGTAGTTAAAAAGAAGGCTAATCTACGTGGGTAGGTGGAGCCATAGAGACAGCTCCTGGTCTGGAGTCAGGAAGACTCATCTTCCTGAGTTCAAATCTGGCCTCAGACACTTAGTATCTGGGTGACCCTGGGTAAGTCATTTCACCCTGTTTGCCTCAGTTTCCTCATCTGTAAAATGATCTGGAGAAGGAAATGGCAAACCACTCCAGGATCTTTGACAAGAAAACCCCAAACGGGGACACAAAGAGCCAGACACGAATGAAATGACTGAACAATGGCAAATCTAATGGAGTCCTACACTTACGACATCTGAGGCAAAAGATTAAAAATCAGTTACTATACTTTTTTTTAGTAGCCCATAACTGGAAACAAAGTAGATGACCATCAACTGGGGGGTGGCTAAACAAATTCTGTACATGAATGTAAAGGAATATTACCACGCCAAAAGAAATGGCAATTACAGAAGCATAGAAAGACACATGGATTGATGGAGAATGAAGTGAGTAGGATCAGGACAACAATCTACATAATGACTACAGTATATATGGAAAGAACTAAAAAGAAAAAAAAAAGCAGATGCAGAACACAGTGATTATAATGTCCAAGCCTGGCCTTGAAGAGGAGATGAGGGAATCCTCCTCCCCTTCCTTTGCAGAGATGGGAGACTAGGCGTACATGACTTCGAACGTTCTCCCTGTTCCTTCCACTTTTTTTATTCTTTGTTACATAAGATAATTTGCTGGGAAGGGTAGGATGATAGGGAAGGAAAGAGACATGCAATGTGTTTCTAAATGAAGGTGAAAAAAAAAAAGAAAATATCAGTAACTTAAAAAAAAACCTGTTAAAATATAAAATACAGTATGGAACAAGAACTCTGAAGTCCCTCCTAATGCGGTGGGTGAAAGATGAAATGAAAAGACTAAGGAAACAAAGATTTGAGCTTCTGAACATACCGGTTTACTAAGCAATGCATGCCAGTGGAATAACAAATTGGGATGAGGCCCCTTCCTCAGCTTAGGGCTGGATCCCCAATACAAGGGGAGATAGGTTTTTATACATTAAAAACAACTAATCAAATACAGCCAATTAATTAAAAGGAAACAAGACAATCAGATTTCTAATTGAATGAGAGATTAGGGACTTTCCAAGTTAGAAAAGGGAGAGCGAACAGGTGCAATTTCCCCTAAATTCAGAAAAACAGGGATCCCATTCCCCCTAAGTGTCTGTAAACAATTAAAAAAAAACATGGAAACAAGAACTGATTACTCAGTTAATTAATTAATTAATTAAAGTAAGGGGCTAGTCTTCAGATATTATATATAGGTTGCTTGAGATGTACAACTATGAGAAAAGTCCTTGCATCAATCTGTGGATTTGATTTGGTTTCTGGTCAACATGACCTGGGTCCTTGTTTAAGGGTCTCTGAGCAGCAGGTAGAGGTGGTCGAGCTTTCCAGCGACCCAGGCCTAGGTTCAAACAATGCAATAAGGTTTTCTCACAATTCCCATAATTGAATAAAGTTTTTTCACAAGACTGAAACTGAATTAGGTCCATAATTGAATAGAACTCATCTAGATTCAGAATTGAATCACAAGATGGAGTCAATGTGGTTCACTCAATTCCCACAACCACTTGCCGTCCTAATCCCCTTAATTTCCTCACTAGGTCCTTTCTTAATTGTATCAAAGAATCATAGAATCTTTGTGTTGGAAGTGACTTTGAAGATCATTTAGTCCAACCCATACCCACACAAAAATCCCCTTAACAACAAAGCTGACAGGTGACCACTCTGCCTTTGATGAAGACTTCAGTAATGGGGACTTCGCTACCTCTCGAGGCAACTCTTTTTACTTTGGGACATTTCAAATTGTTAGGAGCTTTTTTTTCTTGACCTAACACCTCAGTTTGCCTTTCACCACTGGTTGTGTCTTCTGGGACGAAGTAGAAGAAGTCAAGTAAACTTGACAGCCCTTCCTTCAATCATGCCCCTCCTGTTTCCTTCTCTCCAAGCTAAACATCCCCAGTTCCTTCAGCTGACTTTTGCAGGCCATGATCTTGAGTTCCTTAGCCATTGGGCTTATCCTCCTTCCATTCACCAAGATTCCCCCTCAGTAGAATGTGAACAGAGATTGTCTTCCTTTTCTATTTGTTTCACCAGTTTTTTTCATGTAATAAGCAGTTAGTAAATGCTTCATTCATTCATTCATTCATTATGGTAAAGGAATTCTGACATGCATACAATTCCACATGGGTAGGGAATAAAGCAGTGGCTGATCTGAGAGCCAATTTCCTACGAGTAAGTTTAGGGGGAGACAGCAGTCATGTGAACACAAGGACAGGAAAAAACAGAAGCTCAGAGAGACTGGTTCTACTTCCTTCCTTCCCACCAGGTGATGGAAGCTCTAAGAACTGGCAGCCTTTTGACACCCTTAGCACCTCCAGCCCCAAGGGTCCATTCTTTGCTTCCCACCAACACGCTACCCAGAAGTCTATGACTTTGTAAAATTAGGAGTAATTACAGACATAGCAACAATGCTTTGAATTGACACCATTTTCATTATTATACATCAGTCTCTGGAGTTTAGGCAAATTTTCATCTTTCATCAGTTTTCATTAAAGGGTAGCAGTTGCCTTTTCTCTAGCAGGCCCTGAATCATGATTCAAAATAACATTGAGGGAGGAATAGGAAAGAGAAGGGAAAAGAAAGAGAGGGAGAGAGAAGGAAAGGGAGAGGCAGAAGGAGAGGGAGAGAAAGGGAGAGAGAGAGAGAGAAAGGGTGAGAAAGGGAGAGGAAGAGCATTAAATAGTGGAGAGAAAATTGACCTTAGAGCCAGGAAGTGCTGGGTTCAAGTCCTCGCTTGAACACACATACCCTCTAACACCATACAACTCAGTGCTCCAGGTCCTAATCATAAACATAATTTTGATTTCATGGTTGAAACCCCAGGAATTACACACCAGTGATAACCTATCTTTCAATCTGGCAGCTTTATTTAATCTGATGAGCTAAGGCTGTTTTAATTCCAATCATCTTAAGGCAGACAATCCCGGGAAGCATAATTGCCCTGATCCTGCTGGGTCTGAGGGTGTGTCTGAAGCAGGCAGAAGAACTGCAGAAAGGGCTAGAGGGCACACGTTTTGAAAAAAACACAGGCAGGTCTAAGAGTTTCTCATCCTTCCACTTGGCTGCTCAAATGCAATTATTAAAAACAGCATGGCAGCCTCAGGTGGCTGAGTGGGGCTGGAAAACTAGCAACTAATGGAGACACTATCTGTGGTTATCAGCAATGGTGCCCACTTCATAAGGCAGAAATGGAGCTGTTTGGGTAATTATCCATTTTTAATTTATGTACTTTTCTGAAGACTATATATTATTCCCATGATTTTCTAGCTGACTGGCAATGATGTCATACATGGAAACCTGCTGGATGACTTGCCTCATATACCATCTGTTGAAAAGTACACAGCCTTGTTTTCTACCCAGATAGGCTTCGGGATCCTTTTCGAGG